AATAATAATCAGAATTAAAAATGTCAAAAAAAAAAACAAATATCTATGTAAAACCGTGTTTAAAAAATTACAAAAAAATGTATGAACTCTATTAATTACATAAAACCGTACTTCTTAACTTTGAGAATAAAATATAATTTTAATAATCTACAATATAATAAATACGTAACTTATTTTTGTAAAATAATTTGAGTCGTAGAAACTTAACTTGGTACAACAACTTAATTAAAAAGTTTTCTAACAACTATTTAGGAATAATATTTGGTCTACTTTTAAGAAGCTGGGCAATTACGTCGCATATTACATAATAATGAAAACAAAATTACACCGTCAAGTCAATCAAATCTACCAGAGTCCGTTTCATTTCGGTTCAGTCGGTAAGTCGGTTATGGCTGTTGTATTTAAATTGACGACGCGCGCTAACCGTATCCGCTGCTGTAAGTCGGTTCGTATTGGTCTGTCAAGTTTTATTAGGGTCGGTAAAGCATGTCAGGAGCCGCACGCGATTTATGGATGGCGGCATAAACAAGAATTGACAGGCGCGCATGCGCGCAGCGCGATACGAACGAATGCCACGGTAGAACCGGTTTACGAAGACGTTAACCGATTTAACTCGGTCCATGCTCAGACCGGTTTGAAAAGTCGAGTCTTTACATCTCTAGTTTGATGCAAGTAAGTGCGTACCGTATCTACCCTTTTTGTTTTAATCTAAGGTTGTGAAGTAACCAGCGAGCCCAACTACGAGCAGTGGTATCCCAAGGGCGCCTACATCATCCTACATTTCGTTTACTGAGCAGCGACTGGCGCTAACTTTACAGCCGCCAATAAAGTTGAATCGCACTGTACTCGTATCGAAAGCGACTGTGGCGGCGAAATCTACACGCTCCATATAAACAGGTGAAGTTACCAGCTCTGCATGCAAAAAGTATTAAAGCCTACATCGCACCAGAGTAGTTCGGAATCTAACACTTCATTCTTTTTTCACAGAGCTATTTGCAATCGACTGTTCACATATAATCAGATTTTAATTTTCTTCCTGTTGTAGACTAGCAGTTTGTTGCTATACTCTGATTTGTTTGTAGACTAGCAGTTTGTTGCTATACTCTGATTTTTAGTGTGTTGTTTGATTAGTAGTTTGTTGCTATACTACTTAGATTAAACCAAAAAGGGAAGATACCACAGAAAGAGGTTATAATGGCCTTGTGGGCGGGGCAGGCGCGTCATAGTTATGAAAAAATGCTCATAACTTGACCGTAACGTCCGATCGCGTCGTTTAGTTGCCCGCGAACGCTCAGTGAGAGAGTATTGTGATTACCGCTTAAATGCCTTATGCCTTCGTGTGCCGTAATTACGTGCAAAGTAAGGAGTCAATCATCAAAGGACAATGGGCAAAATTGCATGGACACTGCACCCACGTCCGCCACGGCTTAAACTACATTTGTTTGAAAGGTATCATAGTCATGATCATTTGTGCCAAAGCGCATCAAATTCCATCCCGGGAGTAAAGACTCCCGGGATGGAATTTGATGTACCTATTTAACTTAAAATAACTAAAGAGTTATTTTAAGTTAAATAGGTACAATTCCATAGGTAAAAGTAACTATAACGAACATAATATTTAAAGATACAAGGACGAGTATGTAGAACGGATATATTAATTGACGACCACGGAGGTCGTCAATTAATATATCCGAGTCGAGTGGTTGTACGCCGGGTTTCATGGTGTCGCTGGCTCGAGAGGTTCGAATCCTGGTGGGGGCAGATGTTTGTGTGCTGAGTACGAGCATTTAAATTGATCCATAGATTTTTTATTAGCTCGTACGATTATAATGACGTACGCGATGATAATCGTGTTCCTATTTCTAAAGCGTGTTAGTTAAATATCAATGAAATAACAGGGAGCGCACAAAATGTAAGACATAGGACTGCATACGAGTAGACTAGTTGCAACGGCAACTGCAATATCACATCCTTCAACCCCCATACCCTGTTAGACGTTTTGAGGAGTCTCAGTAAGTGCAAGCAGCAAGCAAGCAGGATAGTCGGTAGGCTTTGTTGTTTAGTATTTTGTATCTGGTTGTACAGTAAGATATGATTCACTCACTTATTATTGCTAATATTATAAAACGAAAGTACTATTGATATTGAATGAATTTCTTTAGCTATTTAAATATCATCATCATCAGCCTATTAATGTCCGCACTGCTGGGGCACAGGCTTTCCCTATGGATGAAATAGGGAGATTGGGCCATGACCCACCACGCGGGCCCAGTGCGGATTGGCGGGTGCTAACGACTGCAGATGCAGCCGGGACCAACGGCTTAACGTGCCTTCCGAAGCACGGAGGAACTCGAGACAGATGTTTTTGGTCACCCATCCAATGACCGACCACTGCGGAAGTTGCTTACCTTGAACGATCGCAACCGAACGCGCTAACCACCTGCGCCATCGAGCTTCTCTATAAGGAGCTATTTAAATATGCCCGTGTGTAACCGGTCCCCATGACTTACACACAAAGGTCGTCTATAAGGACTATGTGCGGAAACCTTAACCCCTAATATAGAACATACCCAGGTGTATATCTTTTGACCCCCAGGTTATTTTTTTTTGGTGCCATAATAAAAAAGGCTAGTTTTTCATAGAATTACATTGTTGGCGGAGCTGGGTGCGTTTTGCCCATTGTCCTTTACCTAAAACAGGAATTTCTTTTCATCGGTAAGTATAAAACTTCGTAGTTACACTGATATTTTAGCAAAAAATCGAGAAATATTAATAAAACGATAAATCACATATATATTTCCACAAAAATCTTCATTGCTGACAACGCAACGAACGAAGTCGGTCCAAATTATAGCTATTCCGACTGGACTAGGTCGTACATTTTACATTTTCGATAGATTTTATCGACTGAATTTTAGCAACTAATAATGATATTAACTTTTAGAAATAAATAAAAGCTGAATGTAAATGTTTATCATACTTAATATTACAAAGGCGAAAGTTTGTGAGTGTGTATGTTTTTTACTTCTTCACGTGTAAAGGGCTGAAGCGATATTAATAAAATTTGGTATGGAGTTAGCTGACACCCTGGATTATATATAGGCTACGTTTTACTGTGGCAAAGTATCCCTAATAAACCGCAGGTAACACCGCAGGGCACAACTAGTACAATATAAATATAAAACTGAAAAGTTTGTTTATAGTCCAGTCAAAATAGACATTTGACTTAGGAATAATTCGCATAGAGCTGAAAATTGGCAGAGACGTTAAATGCATCATTATAAATAAAATGTCAAAAATCCCCTTCGATTCTACTTCTATAAAAAAAAAACAACTCAAACGTACAAAATTACGGGTTTTTCCATTTTTCTCGAAAACGGTAAGTTTTGTCGTGAATCAGATCATATAGATCAGACAAAAGTTGTAGACCATACAATTCTCTACAAAAATGGTCTGGTCACTTTTTCTCTCACAACTCACTGAGTCATTCGTGAGATATCGCGGTTTTAATAATTAGAAAATTCATTTCAGAGACGTTAAATACATCATGTATATAACGTCTCTGCCAATTTTCAGCTCTATGCGAATTATCCCTAAGTTACGACTTATTTTTGTTTATTTTGACTGGACGATAGAGAGAACTAACTTGTCTACACAGTCAGTAGAAAGAGCATGTAAAGAGCCATCTGAAAACGAAGAGGATGAAGATGAAGATTTTACTGTTTTCGGTACACAAGTCATTGCCTACATCGCAGGCAATGTGGTTCATGTCCTAATTAAAAAAATCAAATGCAACATTTGCCCTGGAGCCCTAATATTTGATTCAAGTAATAATTAACATAAATTTATTTCCTTAAAAGATAAAAGTGGCCTGATATATCCGTCCGTGGTGATGTTATAAAAATATGCAAAAATGCAGAAACTGTAATACGACAACATGCAGATCATTTTAAAAATGTCCAAAAGTTCCATACAATCAAGTCAAGTCCAACTCGCACTTGGCATAAATTTAATATCGATAATATTTCATCTACTCTGTGTCAACCACTAGCGCTAAAATCGGTGTGAACGAATGAACGCTGATTCGTTCGGTTGCTTGATGTCGCGTCGTTTGATTGGCTTATTATCTATTAGGTGGAAGTGTAGTGGGGGCGAGCCGGCGACATCGGTTCTCATACTGGCGATCGCTTATCACCCTTCTAACCTCTTTCTGTGTTCTGTGGAAGATACGGTACGCTCATACTAGCATCAAATAAAATATGATCCGACTCACATACATAAGCAACTCTCACACACGCACACGTCTGTAAATAACATTCAATCGAGCGAGTGAGACAGAACTGTACGCTTCAACGCAGAGCAAGCGAAACGGCGAATCAGCTTCCGAGTGCGAACAGCTGAGCTGTATTTAATTGTTGTCCTTTTCTTGATAACAAAATGGCAATTATATACGTAAAAACATTCATCACGACAAACCGTGACTTTTGAGAAAAAAATGATATTACAGTTTTACGAATGAGAAGTGTTGTCGAGGCAGTTATTTAATTTTGAACTATTTGTGTTATTTATAAAAGCATCGTTTTATCTTTATAATACAGAATATACGCAATATTTGTTACACTGAGTGCACATACAGCGTGCGTGACAGCGGACATTCAAGTCCAATTGTGAATACAGTGAATTGTGATCGTGCACCACAATTTAAGCGGATTACTTTAAGCCGCGGGTGCCGTCCCACACAAATCTTCCCTTTTTGTTTTAATAAAAGCTATTATACTCTGATAGTTAATTCGACGGAATTCTGACATTTCATTAATCCTATATTCTACTGAATCTATAAAACAGTTTTAAGCTATATAAAAAAAACTTGAATTTAAAATTTCGCATTAGGAAAAATAAAGACTGATAAATTGTAAATATAAAAATGATAATCAGATTTTTTACTAGCACATTAACAAAAATGTTCGCTTAATATATGAATGAAAGATTAGTAAGTCATTAGAGTGTATTTTATTAAATATATATCGTAGTTATACATAATAATTACATGTTTGTATAAAAGTAAATACTCAACAAATTAATTCTTTGCGGGTTCAATAGTTTCACCTCCTTGGATCTGACCCCATCCAATTAACCTGCAGGAAGAAATGGGGTATTAATTTGTCTCTCATAGGACAATTTCTTTTTGATTTATATTAGCGATATATCAGATGTTTTCTAGATTTAAGTTTTTTCTTACTAAATGGATTTATATTTTGAAGAAATGAAGGCAATTAGGTATTTAAGTAAATCTTATATAAAAAAAACTTACCGCCAATGGTTTTCTACTCTTCTGCTAAGTGCTACTTTTTCCCCTATCTCTGTGCAGACTGGATTTGTGAGGGCGATTTTAGCCAAATCAGCTTTTGTAGCAATTACTCTACCGCCAGTACTCAGGGAACCAATGTTGACCAAAAGCACCTAAGGAAAACAAAATTACATTTAATATCTAGGAAAACTAAATTGGCCAGAGACTACTACTGTCGTCGACTCGACTCGCACAAATCTACCGATTCATTAAATGTTTCGAAGTTTGTTAAATCCCGAAAGAATTGTTGCTATTGAAAAAAGATTATTATTATTTTTTAATGTAAGTAACACAAATACAAACCTCGTTTTTAGTTAATTTCTGAACTTTGGCCGCTTTTTTGTCCCCTTCTGTGCGAACGCCTAGTAAACGCTTCAGTAAATAGTAGGAAACTTCCAGTTTGACGAATATTCCTGGTAAAGCACCTACGGCACCGAGGACCTGCGTAAAATAATAATACAATTGATTTCTCTATTTCATTTTCCTAATTATTTTAGGGTTCACAAAAACGTTATTAATAATTATGCAGTAATTTTATTTTTCAAAAGGGTGCCACATTCTACGTGCAGCTAGAAGGTAAACGGCTGCCATAGCATAGCATAATATGTAGTTATTTAAGCAGCTGTTGTTTAATAAAGGATATTAAAACGCGAATGTGTGCTGATAATAGTATCACATGAGCGTTTTAATACTTAATTAAAACAGTTGCATACAAGACTTTATCTACCCATGATATGAATCCTTTATAAAAGATTCTGAAACAATGTAGCGTTCTAAGAACTTAAAATAACTAGTTTCTATTATGAAAGTTATTAAAAAAAACATGAAACACACCCAAACTATTTTTTTTAAATTATGTTATTCGATATTTTGATGTAGGCAATAAGCTAACCGTTTTAGGATCTTTAATAGCGGTTTTAGAGCATGGGAGTAGTTAAAGATATTTGTGATACTGCACGGCGTCAACTACGCGTTGTCTATTTTAACTCCATTCCAAACAATAACCAGTATTCCTTCATCATCATCATCAGCCTATTAATGTCCCCACTGCTGGGGCACAGGCCTTCCCTGTGGACGGAATAGGGAGACTGGGCCATGACCACCACGCGGGCCCAGTGCGGATTGGCGGGTACTAACGACTTCAGATGCAGCCGGGACTAACGGCTTAACGTGCCTCCCGAAAAGCACGGAGGCGCTAGAGATGACAAACTTTTGGTCACCCATCCAATGACCGACCACTGCGAAAGTTGCTTAACTTCAACGATCGCAGCCGAACGCGCTAACCACTGGCGCCATCGAGCTCCTCACACAGTATTCCTTACCAGACATAAGTTATGCAATCTACTGACACTGTATAAGTAACCTTAAATAGCTCATCATCACAAGCCCATTAATATCCCTGCTGCTAGACAGAATTTCCGAATGGATGGAATAGGGATGCGACGATAGCCTTTGGTAGAGGGGGTTCGATTAGTAACTCGCTTTCCAATGACTGGTAAAAATATTTTATTTTGTGGGTCATAAGGTTGATTTCACATTTTACTTTTTTCACCTTTATCGTTTTTTTTCCAAGTATCAGATATAATTTATTTTATAAGATAAAAGGTCGCATGTAAATAACATTTTGTTATTTGTAACCTTATTCCTTTGTGAGATAGTTGTAACTAGATTCAACTTAAACTGTTTAAAACATTTACCTTTGTTCATTCGGAATCGAATGTAGCTGCACAAGTTTAAACATATGCAGACAGTTTTTAGCTATGATTGTGTATGCAAACCGCTATCTATAAAATTGTTGATCGAAGTACCCTCCACCCAAGTTTGACTTTTTTGATTTGACGTAGCAATTTAACATCAAAAATTCTTCTGCGCCTGTTTATTGTCTGTGGTTTTGCTCTAGAACAGCGCCGCTACCTATACGAGGACATAGAATAAATCAACCTGTCCCACGAGTTGATTGGCGCGGCTCAGCGTGGGCTCTGTCTTGGTGTCCACTGCAGCTCGTTTAAAGTACTACTGAGTAGTACGAACGAATATAGAATTCGTTACATTGGCGAGTGCGAAATGTCAATGACAAACTTTGTATGGAAACTTGAACAGCAGCGCCACAACGGACGTTACGAGAACTAAAAATCAGTACACATTCAATTTGACGTAGATCCTGCCCGAATTCAACTTATCAAATTCGATAACGTTTTGTGCTAAGGGTTATTGTTAACCCGCGAACAGAGAGACGATGCGGGGATTATTAGCCGGCACGTCAACTTGTCGTCCTTTGTCTCTCGTCTGTCGTATGTGTCTATGGTTTAGCTCAAGAACTATGCCGCGTCTACTGCAAAAAAATCTACTGCACATGTTTATATGTATGTGGGTTTGAAAAAGAAGTGTGCCGCTATTTATATTTTTTTTTACCTAGCTTGGACGTATTAGTGCTTTTGTGGTTTGACGAAAATTGTGTGTACGTGACAAACATAAAAAGTGGTGATTAAGAAGTCTCAACCACTTTCGACCCGAGGCTGCTAGGGATACTGCCAGGGGTGAGAGGTATAAAAAGTATAGACATAGAAAGAGGAGAGCAAAACAGAGAAGTATAAAGATGAGGTAAGAAGATAAGATAAGGAAAGGAATTAAGGGACGTAGTAAGAGGAGGTACGAAGATACTTGTTGCAGTTACTTAAAATAAGACTGGTACGGTAAATGTGAGTTTTTCGTTTAGTGTCTTATGAAGGGGTTATTAGATGTGATAGCGGAATTAAAAGGTTTTAGTTTAGAAAAAATGTGTTCAATGAAACAGACTAAGGATTGAAGTGTATTTTTATGTCGAATTAGATTAGGGATATGGAATGGGTTAGGTATATTAGATGGACATACAGAAACATAGTTATGTCCTTCGATTGAAAAGATTGAGCAGTCTACAAGGAGATGAAAAGGATCCTGTGGTGATTGCGAGTTGCAAGGACAAAGATTTGTAGAGGTTATATGGAAGCGATGCGAGTAAGATAAATGGGCTCCGTGTCCCGTTAGGAATTGGCTGAGGTGAAAAGAAAGTGGCCAGATATTAAACCAACCTGTCCCACGAGTCGATCGGCACGGCACAGCGTGGGCTCTATCTTGGTGCCCACGCCGATCAGTCTGCTGGGCACCGCGTACTGCAGCTCGTTCTGTTCCGCAAACAAGGAGACGATGCGGGAGAATATCAGCTGGCACGTCAACTTGCCGCCCGCGTCTACCGCGTCTGTTTACTATCTATATATGTGGATGGTCTGATATGAAACCAACCTGTCCCACGAGTCGATCGGCGCGGCACAGCGTGGGCTCTATCTTGGTGCCCACGCCGATCAGTCCGCCGGGCACCGCGTACTGCAGCTCGTTCTGTTCCGCGAACAAGGACACGATGCGGGAGAATATCAGCTGGCACGTCAACTTGCCGCCCGCGTCTACTGCGTCTGTTTACTATCTATATATGTGGATGGTTTGATATGAAACCAACCTGTCCCACGAGTCGATCGGCGCGGCACAGCGTGGGCTCTATCTTGGTGCCCACGCCGATCAGTCCGCCGGGCACCGCGTACTGCAGCTCGTTCTGTTCCGCGAACAAGGACACGATGCGGGAGAATATCAGCTGGCACGTCAACTTGCCGCCCGCGTCTACTGCGTCTGTTTACTATCTATATATGTGGATGGTTTGATATGAAACCAACCTGTCCCACGAGTCGATCGGCGCGGCACAGCGTGGGCTCTATCTTGGTGCCCACGCCGATCAGTCCGCCGGGCACCGCGTACTGCAGCTCGTTCTGTTCCGCGAACAGGGACACGATGCGGGAGAATATCGGTTGGCATGTCAATTTTCCGTCCGCGTCTTTGCTCACTAGTCCGGGACGCACCTGATGATAAAATAATATATATGTTTGTTTAGTTTAGTTGAGATGGCGCTGCCTGGCAGCCTAAGGCTAGAGATAAATTCGACACGGCCGCCAGGGCCGCGGTATCTTAATGGTCAGTGCATTCGCCCGGATGGCGAAGGGTGCGGGTTCGAGTCCCGTCTGCTGCCTGGTCCGCGTGGATTTTTTTCTAGTTAACTTTTCTTAAGATTCTCACGCACACCACTCAATTAATGAAACGGGTATTAATACAATGCAATGTGAAATGGTTGCGAATTGGCAAAGTACTTTTAGAAAGTTTCAAAAACGCATTTACACCTGTTCAAAATTTGTTTCATTTAATAAACGTTTAGCTTATGCTTTATACATGCAGCGAAACACATTATTATTATTTTTTTAATTGAAACAGAATGTACGCCGGTCCCCGTAGCATGAGCACCACAATTTAAATTATATCAGCATTCTTATCATGGCAAACTCCATAGTAATTTGACAATTGAGCGTGATAAAAACGAGCTATATATCATATCGCGGTGCCTATGCTAGGGGGCAGTACTGTTTTATTAATATGCGGGTGATAAAAGTGTATGGAAATCCATTGTTAACGCGCTGTGCTGGTTAACGTGCGGTTTGTTTTGGGTCATATCGTCATGAAACTACAAAAGTTTAAAGCACAGTCTGAAAAATTATTGAAATGCGGAAGAATATCGGCCGGTATGTGAACTTGCTATCCGTGTCTTTGCTCACTAAACCGGGACGCACCTGATAGACAGTATTCTCTTATCAAAGCATTAGACACGGGAGGAATTAAAAGATCTAGTGAGAGTATTTATAATAATAATTTTTATATGCCATATAAATATTTTGTTAAGTACTTAGAGCAAGCGCACATTGAGCCACTAGTTGTGGCTACTAAACGCGTCGATTCAAGTTTTTTTTAATACATTTTGTGTTGTATCGGCGCAAACTAAGTTCGCATTACAGAATGACAACTACTTAAGTGTTGATCTTTACTTGAGTACGGTTAGAAAGGGATGTCGCTATGTGCTATATATAGCATTATCCTTTTCTGACTGTGCTCGAGATTAGATTAATTACTGAGAATCTTTCTATAATACGGGCCTAACACTCTAGCGGCGGCCATCGGTGGCTGTGTAGTGGCTTGACTGAGCCGCGATTAGGGGCTCAATGTGCGTTTGCTTTTATGGAGGTGTTGGATCAAAAGTATCGATACTTTATTTACTCATGAAATGCAAAGAATATCGAAATAAAAAGTATCGACATTGGCATCAGACAAAAAGTATCGAGTAATTTTACTTTCGAATAAAATTCACTGAAAATGTACAGAGACATAGTCTATACACATCGTAGCGATGTGTATATAGGGTTACCATCCGCCCGAATTTTAGACTATAGTCCGAATTTTTTTAAATTACATTTAATATGAATTATAAAATTACATATTGTTTTAAAAACCATATCATTGTAACTAAGTGCGTAATGGTACCTTTTTACCTAAAAATCTGGATTTTTTTCAAAAGTCAGGTGTTTTGTCTGGGATTTTGAAATTACTAAATGGTAACCCTATCTTTATATATATAATTCTTCTGTGAGTGTGTATGTCACTGAACTTCTCTTAAACGACTGGACCGATTTTGATGAAATTTTTTGTGTGTGTTCAAGGGGATCTGAGAATGGTTTAGATTCACAATTTTGTCCGCTGGACAACCCCTATTTTTTTAGGGCGGTACGAAGTTCGCTGGGTCAGCTAGTGTGTATATAAATATCTAAGATTAGAGCACATACTTCGATCTCCATTCCAACAGTGAGTACTCCTTGGAGGATGGAGCCGCCAGCGACCCCGCCCCTGAGGTCGTCGACCTCGCAGCCCGGCTTGTTGACGTCGAATGAACGGATCACGATCATGCGAGGCGGCGACGTGAAATCTCTCAATGGCACCGGGATTTTCTTTGTGATGTACTCGCAAAGCACCTTTTAAAAATATTAATTAATCAGTGAATAAGAGAACATTGTTGTCTTTACAGTTAAGCATTTTTACATTTCTCATCAGTTTGAGCAAAATTGGCGGGATTTATTACTCATTGGCCTAGCCACAGCTCAAATTACCTAAAAGCACTAAAACTGACAAACCTATCTGATTTTAAGATTTAGGATTTATAATGGACAAAGACAATATGACATTTTATTGTTGTTTGACGTGGTGACCAGGGGGCCAATCGCCTAACGGAAATGCTTTGGGAAACGCTAACGCTTACGATTTTAATTTGTTATTTCTAGCCGCGTGAAGCATTTCCGTTAGGCGATTGGCCCCCAGGGACTACTCTCTTTCTACAAAACGAACTTTCGATAACGAAGTTCTAACGAAATTTAATTTCGTCAATTTAAGGTAAACTTAATTTGAACGATAAACTATTAAATTGAAGCTTTCTTTGAGTAGCCTTAGTAAATCTACACCTCAATCTATATTCCGACGACGAATATTATTATAATTAAAAACGAACCAGAAACGTAGTAAGAAAAGTGCGAAGTTTCGATCGAAATTTCGTTGTTCGTTGAATTAGAGTAGGCCTTCCGTTGCGAATTTGGTGCGGTAAAGATAAAGAGGAGCTGCGATACGATCAACATATTATTAATTCAAAGGCCTAAAAATATTCTTATTCCAAATTAGTTATATCTACATACTGAAAATATCTTACTTCAATATTATATTTCAACTGAGCTGATATGGGAATGATTGGAGCGCCCTCTGCGACAGTGCCTTGCACGAACTTCACAATCTGTTCGTGTTGTTCTTTCGCCTGGCCTTCTTTTACCAAGTCTATCTTGTTTTGCAGAATGAGTATGTGTTTCAATTTCATGATTTCGATGGCAGCTAAATGTTCACTAGTTTGAGGCTGCGGGCACGATTCGTTACCTGTTAAGATTTTGTTTTTATTAATAAAGAAATATTGAATGAGTTTTTGTGACTACACTATATTTAATTTTATCTGCACTCTTGCTTTAAAACCTCTATTAGAGATTCTGAAACAGTTACTTTATTGCCCAACATTAAACAATCCAATGCCATAATAAAAAAAAGCTATTATAACACCCTAACGGGTGTTGTAATCCCTTCCGCACTAAGGGCCTACTCAGCAGACAGCCACAATTTTGGCTGCTCAATGCATGGTATTATGAATATAAAAAAAGAACATTGTCAGTCACGCGCGTTTCACAAACTTTTGATTAATGTTAAAATCTTAGAACGCCCCATGGTTTCAGAATCTTTTAAAGAAGAGTCATATCATGGGTAGATAGATAAAGTCTTGTATGCAACTGTTCATAATAAAGTATTATTACACATTTATGTTCTACTATTATCACACTCGGCTTCGCCTCTCATTATATAACAGTTATACATAAACAACTACATTATGTATTAAACATTAATTTGATAAATTTAAATCTAAAAGAAATTTTACCAAAAAGCAATTGTTAAGGTAGTGTGTTGGGCTGATTATTATTTATTATCTATATTAATGACCACCCAAAAATTTTAGACACTGATTTAACATATCCAATATTATTTGCTGATGACATATCTATCTTAATTAAATGTAGTAAAGACTCTGACCCTAATATTGACATACTCCGTACAATAGAAAATATATCGCACTGGCTCACAGAACATAACCTGGAAATTAATTGCAAAAAAACTAAAGTAATACAATTTAAATCGTACAAAACCAAACCTTTAAATCTTGACGTAAATTTTGATGATATCAAAATAGATTCAGTAGACACGTTAAATCTCCTTGGATTGATAATAGACTCAAATATTAACTGGAAGGGCCATATATACCACATTAAATCCAAATTTACATATGCACTGTTCGAAATTAAGAGTAGCACAAACGTAGATACTGCTCTAGCAGCATACTACGCATATGCATACTCCTGGCTTAAATATGGAGTCATGCTTTGGGGCAACAGCAAAAGCAATGTGTGCGAATCCTTGCTCAAATTAAAAATATGAGTAGCAGAACTTATTTTTTAAAATACCAACTACTAACTTTACCATAGATTTACAATTAAACATCGCAATAAGTTTATTCGTGTTCAAGACACACATAATATTAGCACTCGAATCAAAAACAGGCTGTATATATATACCTCTTTTACGCATAAAGATGCCAAACACCAGCCCCTATCACATGGCTATAAAAATATTTAATAAATTACCATCACAAATACGGGATGAACAGTAACTTCCTATATTTAACAAAAAAATAAAAAAATATTTAACTGATGAATGCTTCTATTCTATAGAAGAATACTTTAATAAATTTAATTAATTTGTATTTATTTTTTGTTAAATTATGTTATAATGATGTTATCTCCCAAAACAAATTAAATACCTATAATACAATTTTATAATATCATAATAATAAATGTTTAATTATCTATCATTTGTTATACCTGTACAAGGTGACTAAGTCATAAGATGCTGTGTATCATGTTTAAGAACCATACATGTTTGAGAACACTTAGTTTGCAAATAAAGATTTTGAGTAGGTATATTGAGTTTAGAAAGTTTCTATTTTCGTGTGAAGGAATTGAAAATTATGGGACTCTGGAACCTAAGATAGCCAGTAACAACCAGTCATTATCTGCACTATAGGCTCCAGACTCAGGATTAGTTTGACATAATGTAGAAGTAGTTTGGTGATTTCATTTGACATCAAGTCTTTTTGGGCAGTAGATAGAGCGGCGTCATGCAAGCGGCGCGGAAGCACGGAAAGTTACCGTAATTTTACCTAGACGTGTAACTTGTGGCGTGGTTGATTACCAACAAGGAGCCCACGTAGTCAAGCATGCAGGCAAGGAGAGGACACATCCCAGCGTTTTAGTGGGTAGCCCCTACCACCCGGAGCAGCAATTAATCCAGCCATAGGGTTGGCTGAATGGATGGGAGATAGGGGGAAGAGTCCCACATAACCTCGTCGCCTTAACCAGCGGCTGGGTTTACGTAACGGATTTCTCCGGACAAAAAAAGTTATTAAATACCTGCGATGAGCAGTAGAGCGGCGTCCATGACAGCGGCACCGTTAAGCATGGTGGCCATAAGAATGTCGTGGCCGGGGCAGTCGACGAAGCTCACGTGGCGCACCAGCTGGAAGCGGCCTGTGCAATTGGCGCGGAAGCAGGGGAAGTTGTCGTCCTTCGATGAACCGCCCGAGATGAAGCTGGTGGGCCGAGGACACTTCGGATTGTCGCATTTGTAGATCTTGGCGTTGGCGTAACCTACAATGAAACTACATTATGTAGGATCGGTAACGATATTAAATAAGCCCGTTGAGGATCGATGCTTTTTGAAACTAGCTGCAAAAATTTACGTAAAGACACCGCTTAAACAACTTATAATGTAATTTGTTTGCGAATCAAATTTACATAATTACTAGCTGACCCAGCGAACTTCGTACCGCCATAAATAAATAGGGGTTGGTGGTAGAAAGTTGAAAATTTAGGGATGTATGTATTTTTGTATGATGTATCATAAAAAAATAAAAAAAAAAACTAAAATTGAAAAAAAAATTTAGGGTTGGATTACCCTTAACATTTAGGGGGATGAAAAATAGATTACATTCGATTCTCAGACCTACTGAATATGCATATAAAATTTCACGATAATCGGTCGAGCTGTTTCGGAGGAGTTTAACCACAAACACCGCGACACGAGAATTTTATATATTAGATACCGTTGGAACAAGCTTTAACTTCATATTATTATGGTTGCCTATATATTTATATGAATCTTTTATAGATAAAAATTCGATTGGGAGCATCTGGTACTCTTAATATCAATTTCGGTAACATTTTAAAGCTGTGTTCATTGTATTTTAGTACAGCTGTGATTGATAAATATATTATTATTCGCTTCTTAATTGGACACTAATAAAGAAATGTTTAAATATTACATATGAATGGATATACCAAAGCAGCTGGGCTGTAATTCTGTTTTTTACTTTTCGCGATGCGTTTCGTTACATAATTAGGAAAGAGATTTGTTATGTTATATTGACACATATTAAGCTTTAAAGAGGACAGCGAAAGTAGTCTGTAAGTAGGTACTCATAAAGGTGAGAAATGTAGGTACCTACAGACTCGCCTATTTATTTTTGTGTAGTGTGCCTTATTATACCGGATCGAATCGAATCGAATCGAATAAAAAAAGTAACCGCAAAGGACGACGCAAAACATGTCTGTTCATCACCCACATGCTGTCCTAAGTAACGTGCGGAGAGACAATGTTTTGCGTCAGCATTTTAGATTCGTTTCTTGAATAGCACGAGTTACAGAATCTTTGATGCTGGGGCAAATTCAAAATCATTCTAACACTCAAAAGGTTTAATAAATTAAATGTGTCCTTTCTCCACAAATATCCATATACTGATATAGAGACGTAAGGAGAGAAGATGTGAGAGAGAAATGTCAAAGAAATATTTCAGCTTGTAACTGATTTTTATTGTTATAATTATTTTATACTTACTTACATTGTATACACAATAGGGAATATGCATGATTTTTCTTTTTAAATTGAATTATTTACATCTGTAAAACTTTTGTATAAAATAAATATATAATAGTCCTGGAAATGTTTTTTGAATAATATAAACACACTTAAAGAATTTGGTAGTTCACATTCCGCCATTTATTGCGGGTTTTGGATGACGTCACATGGCTCTAGTTTTTACTCAAACACTACTGACAAACTATGAATACTGACGGGGACAAATTCAATGTACGACAATGTATTCCATATGACGACCTCCGCGGCCGAGTGGTTTGTTCGCCGGGTTTCAAGGTGTCGCCGACTCGAGAGGCCCCGGGTTCGAGTCCCGGTGCATTTGTATTCCAGTCATGGATGTTTAATATATAATTCTATATAAATATACTTATATATGTACTGCATATGTATTCTATCCGTAACCCTAGTATTCCATAACACAAGCCTTACAGTACTTACTTTGGGGTTAGGCTAATTGGTGTGAGTGTTGGTAATATTTATTATTATTTATGTTGTGTCCTGTGACGTCACACTTCGTCGCACCAAATGGTGACGCGTTTCGTAAGTTTCAATTTCCCTTGCTTATTTGAGCTTTTTATATAATTTATATAGGAACTAAATTAAAACAAATACCTTTCAGGTATAATGAGACGCCAATAAAAATTCGGGGAAAAAATGACAGACAAATTTAAACTTCATCTATATTCCCTATTGTATTTCTTAAATCAAGTTCTAAAAAGTTGTCACTAAAAAATATTTCAAACATAATTAATTATACTGAGTAACAATACTATACAACTACTAAGATCATCAAATATACTGTTGATACATGAACGTATCTTACAGCAGGCACTTTTAAACATTTAAAAACATCAAATGAAAAAAATATTCAAAAACTGTTTTTGTATAACAATACAGCAATGTTATTTTTATTGTTAACGGTACTTAAATATAAAAAAACATAATTTCATTGTGATCATTTTAAAAATGTTTGCTTATCCTATTTATGCTATAGTAGGCCACAGAGTAACACATTAATAATTATAATATGGTGTCCAAGGACGTATAAAAAAAGGCGGACAGAATTTCGGCTAAGACAAAAGTGAGGCACCGTAATGGCGGCGGTTTTCTATGAGTGAGTGAATGCAGGGTTGCTAGGTTAGCCAATATTTTACCAATAAAACACAGTAAAAAGATCAAAATATTTTAATTGTTCAAAATTTTACCCGACTGCGGTGGATAATGTTTTTCGAGCGTGTATGCATGTATGTATGCCCAATAATAAGGCGCCAAAATGAAACCTTTAGAAAAAAAATGCTTATAACCCGTCAAGCGAGGTATCAAAGTAAAGGGTCTTAAAAGAATGCAGTGGATCCCCGGTAGTCCGACAAACATTTTGCAGGGCAGTGTCGAACTATCGAATTTGTCGGATTATAGAATACTGCCTAAGACCCCCTATAGTCCGAATTTTTTTACAAAAGAGTACCTTGTAATCCGACAAATTACAGATCCAATGATAAGATTACAAAACATACTTTGTTATGTATGTCAAATTGAGTAAATTAAACAACACAATAGAAAGATTATGTTTTATTATAAAAGTAACGTCAAATGCTATAGAATTTACAAAAAAATATAAAAAACAATACCCTACGCGTCGAGCACAATTGTGATGGTGCGTACAAGTTGTAACTTGTTCAATCGTGAATTAGCGAATACTTGTATGTAATAGACGATGTCGGATTATAGGGGGTGCCGCATTAGCCAGGGGCCGGATTACCGGGGCTCCACTGTATTTAGAAAATAGGTATGCAAATCGTGTATTTAAAAAAAAATCGTGTTGCACTCGGGGACTGCCGCGGTAAAGCTATTGCATAGCATTATTTGTCAACTTATGCAATAATACTATTTATTTATGCAGTATTTTTTTTCTTTGATATTAATTCAAGTTTTTTCTCTGATATTAATAGATGGCGAGGCAGGCCTTATGATATTTTATTGGGCAAGCACAGCAAACAACAGCATTGCCCGGCGCCAAAAAACTTCCACATGCTCCACAGTTTACCACCTTTAGTCCAAAAATTATAATTATAAAGTCTAAATAAAAGGGAGACAAATAAAAATAAGAACAGGTGCTGGGGTCTAAAACAAATATATAAAAAATGGAAAAAAAATATAATAAAAAATAAAACACGAGTGCGGGATTTGAACCGACGACCGCGGTGATGCGTCGAACGTTGGTCCCGTGGCAAAAATTTAACACACTGCACCGTTTCGATCGATACTGGAAAGGCGAAAATTGTGTTCATACGCACTGTTTTTAAGTTGGCATTGATCGAAATGTTTTGTTTAAATATTATCGTTAGTAATATTATTTATCGTTGAAAATATTTTAAAACTTTTGTTTCATTGTAGGTTTTTTTAAATAATCAAAGTTAATTCAAACTATTATATATAACAAATATTGACTTTTTTTATATTCCACTTTTTTATCAACACTGAACTTAGCGCACTTTGCTGGTGCATTTGAAAACTAATTCACGTTCCAATTAATCATCAGCATAATTCGGCATTGGTAGCCACTGAGTCGCATTATGCTCTGTAATTGGAAAACTAACATGAAGTCTGTTTTTATTTTTGTATGAAAAAGTTTATATTTTCCACTTTTCATAAGCCAGAGTAAATCACCTAAATATGCCTGGCCAGGCCTGCATTCTTTTTTATATTTCTTAAATTAACAAAACATGCATTGAGTACTGTTTGTAATTGAGGAGTTCCATTGTTTCCCTCCGAAAATATTCATCAGCTCTGCACTTAATTAATACAGCCATCTCGCTAATAAACTGATTCAAACAAAAAAATAATCATCAAAATCGGTCCACGAATCTCGGAGATATGCACGAACAACAATTGAAAAAAAAATAACAAATATGACGTATAGAACCTCTTTCTTTTTGAAGTCGGTTAAAATTTTTAATTTACCTTTTGAGGTACTGCATGCGTAACAACACGCCGGAGTCCTCTTTTAGTAGTACATAAGTCTCCAGCTTCAAAATGGATACTGCAAATGACACTATATTTATTTGGAATACATTCATCATCTCCGTTACAATTCCTAATAACTTGGATCCAGTCATTTCTCCATTCTACATTTTCTTTAGGGAATCTGATAAAAAAGAATAACAAATAATAGATTGAAGCTAATGTCACCCCAATTTCCCATATTTTAGGTAATATGGTTACGTGAACATTGACAACACTGGACTTTAGATTAATTATTTTGTGCTTAGAATGAAAATTGATTTCGATTTCTAAAAACTAGAAAAAAGTGATTATATTGTTCATTTACCTATGAAACGTGATTCCTGGATTTTTTTTCTTTCGGTCACTACGGTTTTTACACCATTTTACCACGCAAGACATCTTGTTTTAACTTATTTTTATCTCCACTTAACGTATCGGCTGCTTTGACGTTTGCACGCGTAATGGCTGACTATGGTGTGAATGTGTGTGTGCCGGCTTGTACATATAGCGACCTGGCCGACTCTGAGCGACACAGTTTGTTGTTTACCGGGACTCTGTCCGCCTTTTTTTATACGTCCATGATGGTGTCGATTCTGGCATGATTCTCTAAACTTAACATCAGTCTCTCCTTTTCGTTCTGTATAGAGAATGACAAGGATAATCTGTTGTCAAGTTTAGGTTTAGAAAATCATGTCAAAATAAACACCATTGTCTAAATAGGAAATCTAATAGTGCAATAATGTTTCATTTACTTATCAGCTACTTGTAAATTCTATTAATTATAATCACTTGGATAAAAGGCCTATTTGAAATAGGATAATATGTACTTATATACTTGATAATTTTACAAGAACTGTGAGATTCTTAAGGCACTCTGATATGAGGTACGGTGTGTGTGGGGACAGGGGGGGAGAAGTTGTAGGGATTATGAGCCTAGTTAGAGGTGGGTCGTCGACGTATTTTTCGTCGACGAAACTAAACCGTCCACTACCGTCCATCGACTAGTTGACGTGATAACGGCAAGCGTTGAGGGGTTCATAATATCAACTACGCGGTGACCGGTCTACGGGCGCGACGCAACGACGACGACGGGGTCTTTATTTAGTATTGACTTTACATTATAGTCATTTAAATGTTTACAAAATAAATTACAAATTAAACTCATAAAATAATCATTCAATTTAAACGAACTTTGCACTAAATTCGCGTTCACGTGTCCCTTGACCTTGACCTCGCGACACACTAATTTCAAATTTCAATAAACAACTGACTGACTTGAGGTATACAATTATTATAAACCCGTTCATCCTGCACTGCATCGTTTAGCCAGATCCATCGACGTACTCTTTCACGCTATATCAGAATACTCTAGCCTTTTCACTCTAACAACTCTAGTTTAAAAAACGAACAAATGTCAATTCCCACGCCATATGCTTAAGTTTCAAATTGCTGTATTTCAACGAATGAACGAACGTATGGACTTGTAACCGGTAAACCGGATATGTTTACGCGTCGACGTCGCGTTGTCAGTAGATGAACACTGTGGACTTTCAGTTTAGCCGTCTATGAATTCAACTAGTTAACGAATAAACTGTATACCGTCGAAGCGTCGATTGAACGTAGACGGTCTATTTAAACCGTTCGTTAATTCAACGCCCATCGCTAACCCTAGTAATGAATACTAAGAGGGGATGGCATACAAGGTTTCGCGTCGTAGGTTTTCGAATCGATGGCACACATGTGCTTGTAAAAGCCTAAACTGAATTAATGATTTTTTAATTGAGTTAAATATATTCATCGCCATCTAGTATCGCAAAGTGTAACAAACTTAGTGGTGCTTAAAAAAGACATGCGTAGTGTTTGCTGCTGATTGTAAGAGGGACTATAAACCGTCGGCGAACTCACGAAGTGTACCATTCCTAAAATGGTACCCGTCAAAGTAAGTGACTCAAAAATTGTCAATTCACTCATACTCTATGATAATTATAATTAACGTTCTTTAAATGAAGTAATGTCTAAATATTAAAATTGATTCAAATAAAGTAATCATTCTACTTATAAGCCGCCCCCTGTCCCTTCTTTACATAAAAGTAGTCTAGGGTTCAAGTATTCAATGTACAACCATTAAATTTATTTGTTTACAAAAGGGGTTAGATTGTTGTTAACTTATACATAGGAATCAAAGTAAAAAAAGCCAATCTGGAAGATTGGATTTAATATTTTTAATTTTTATCAATGCAAAAAATTACTTGGTCTCTAGACACTTTTGTGTATTACATAAGGCGCAAAAGTGTACAACAATATTTTCTGGTCTAACAATATGTTTTTTTGTTAAGTGTTAACATTCTTGAAGAATTTTAAAAAGCATGATAATTATTTTTATTGTATTCAATGAACCAAATCAGACATAGTGTATTTAAATACTAAGGAAAATCTTAGTATTTCATTATTTAAAATACTATTAAGTTTTACCCATAAAATATAGCCACTAAATCTATGATGTTTTACAGTTATAGATACCTCATCCAGGCTTCTAATTTGGCAATACGAAAGTTAGGTAATTGCCTCTCGCCGTGGCTACACTTTGCTACAGCATGTAAATATTTTACATTTTCTCAGACAAAAGCCTGTGTGTGTTTTTAGATTGAACATAGATTACACGGGTACTATTAGAGACAAGAAAAACGTGTCAGTTCATTTGTAAGTACAATTTTAAAGAAATTATTAAAAAAATATATAGTGATTACTTATTCTGAGAGTTGCTGACACCATTATCATATGGAAGCTGAAAAGCGAGTTGTAATCTGCTTTATGTAAGAGAGTGAAAGAGACTACTTTAGTGCACTCTATTGGCGGCTGTTGCCAAGGGAATATACCTGTCTATATATTATACGTAATTGCACTAAATAGACAAAAAACGCGCTAGACAAATCCGCCACCTTATATGGAGCATAAATGTATATACAAATTATATCTAAATATAGTTACAAATTATATCGCAGAAGTAAGCATATTGAAAAAAAGTAAGCTATGTACGTGCAATATAAAAATGATAAGGTACCCAAGTACTCATTTTTAAGTATGTGAAAAATATTGTAACATTCTGTAGTAAATTGCAGAATTTATGGGGTAGGAAGAGCTAAATTACTTAGATTAAACAAATATTACGATATTCAATTCACAAGAATACTTTTGAATGTCATAAATTTAAATTTTCGCACCTTAAAATATTTTTTTAGAACAAATACTTTCTGCATGTTACAGCACCACATTTACATTCTGTACGATTTCTAAGATTTGTCATGTTTTGCTGTTGTAATTCAAATCTAGATTTAGTAGGTGAAGTGGGTACAGTAGGAATACCAGCCTCCGATCCATTAGCAACACTTGCACTGTCACTATCTGCAACACTCGCATCGCCATTTATACTGCTTTTCGTATCATTTTCATCATTTTCTGATGACTTCTGTAAATAGTCAAAAGAAATTTCTTCACCAAGTTCAATGTCACGTGTAGCAAAAAGTGCTATCATTGGAAGATTTGGATCAAGACAATCAGCCCATACTGCCCATACACCAAGATTTGGATCACAGGAGTGGTTGATGAAATGTGATACACTACCCATGTGTGCTGCATCTACTACATAAGGGTTTTCCACAGAATTGAAATCTAGGTCAAAAAGATAAGTTAGTCCATTGGCATCATATTCCCTTCCTCGTTTTTCAGCCTCTTCGAATGTTATTGTTTCACCAACATACTGGCATACAAATTGTCCTTGCTTTATTTTTTGTTCAGTTTTGACACCCCAACCACAACCATTTGCAGTTCGATATATGCATAATTTAATATTTCTTCCTCCTTGTACAACACGGTTGCTACATTCAGACGAACATTTACAAGTCTTGTTGCATTCATATATTGGTGTACCAGATGCAACTCGCAATCGTTTATTGGTGGTATAAGCAAATATGCCTCCTTGCATGCCACAACAGGACTTGGAACGACAGTTGCATGCAGAACATTCACAACCAATAGGAGGATCATCAGGAATTGTAACTCCAGCACCAGGTATGCAATGGTTTATGTAAGTAAAGTTTTCTGGTGGACCAGCCAAATCAACATTATTCTCTACAGACAACTTTTTAGATTTATCTACTTGGTTTAAATGATCTTCCCAGTTCTTTAATGCTATTAATTGTTGACATCGTTTTCTAGCTAACACATACAATTGTAATATATCTCGGGTCTCTTGAACAAGATCCACAAAATACTTTTCATTCTCTTCATTTAAAGTAATCATTGATAACAATTTAATAATAAGTGTTTCTTTTAATTTGGAAATGTTAAACTCTTCCAGTTCATCTAATCTTTTTATCAAATTTTCATCACTAAGCAGATCATCAAATGACAATTCTTGCTTAAGCTCATCAAATTTGTCACAATATTTAACCTCTTCATTGACCAAAAATGTCTGAAGTATTGATGGACAATTATCAAGATGTTCAAGTGGTTCCCAAGTGTTTTCGCTATCTGACCAACCTTTCCATTTCAAAAAGAAAAAAGGTTTACCTTCTTCGAATTTAAAATCTAGGATCTTTTCTATTATAAACTCCTCTCTTTTTCGTTTACTATTCTTTTGCTTTTTCGGGAATGGCATACTTGTTTCCTCATCTTCTGCATCAAGAGATAAATTTCTTTTTTTTGATCTTCTAATTTTCTCAAAGAATTGGTTTTCATTTTTTTCCTCTGCCAGTTCCTGATAAGTTCTTATTACTGAATCCGACAGGCGCTCTGCAACATACCATGTGTTTGAAATTAACATGATTGTATTATATAATGTCTTTATTACAAGATTTTATTTACACATGTCATTGTTACATGGTACATTGCAAAGCGGCTGTTTACATTATATTGACATCTGAGTGAGTATAACTCATATTTACATCATGTTAATACTATTTTACCAAATGTTGCATAGAAAATTATTTACATTTTCATTTTTAAGCTTTTTATAGCTAGATTAAGAAGGACTAAAATTACTTTCTTCTATTATATATTTTGTACATATTAAAAAAGTTCACAGGTTGGTAAATTTCAACAATGTACACATGTTTTTATAATCTCACATATTTTCATGGACCCAGAATTTATATAAATAAAACAAATATTATTTTCTAGTGACAAAAAAATAACATCAAGACTAACAACTTCCATCAATGCTAACAGAATTAAGTGCAATTATGTAATAAAGTAATATTTAAGTACTTAACTTATAAAAATAAGTATACATACCCAACTTTATGGTAATATTTCTTTCTAGTTCATTCTTGAATCTAACAGTTTGTACTCCTGAAATAGCTTTAACAACTGTTGATTTTCCATGAGCTACATGTCCAATAGTACCAATATTTATTGTTGCTTGTCTAGATATAACTTCAGGTGAAAGAGCAGATAGTTTTGTGACATCCTAAAAATAATAAATATTCTATGATGCATTGATTTGAAACAAGTATCATACATCATCATAAAGATAGATATTTGAAGAGGTTATGTTAGTTACAATTTAATTGTAGCGAATTATGACGAAATAATTCTTAGATTTTGCAAATTTAAAAGGAACTATAATAAATTATAATCATTTCATTTTTTAACAATACTTACTAATTTGGATAAGTCTTGCTGATGCAAGTTGGATTGAGCAGTTCGACCCTCACTAGAAGCCATGGTTATCAAAATCAGTTATTCCTCTACGCAAATCTTGTATACTTATGTAGTTCTGAACATAAAATATAAACTTAATTATTATTAGTTAAACATACAATAGTAAGAAAGTATTTCAAGTTGCAAATTCTAAAAATACGACCGTACTCTAACGTAGATTAGCGTGCCGCACAGACCAGACACATCATAATCATAAACTCAAGCAAGAGAGAGAGGTTCTACCGCGCGTTGTCTTTTTTTTTTTTTGGTTAATTTGTCCCTGTTGGGACGGGCAAAGGATTCTGAGTCCATACAGCCCTGTCTGTTAACTTTTCTTTCTTAAAGTGTTTTGATTGTAGCTTTTATAAATTTGTATAAAGGAATGTAGGTGTCTTTATTTTGTAAAAGTTTTCTCAAGTCGCGCGGGATGGTTTCTTCGCCAAAGCGGTCTTTTCTATTTATGTGTCTATGATATGTATCATCCATAGACATTTTTTATGCATCCAGACTTCACAGACAGGTAGGCCGCCCATACACATGCCGTTTTAACCCGATCCGTTACGAAAAGCAAAAGAATGACAAAACAACAGACTGAAAGCACAAATTTGTAGGCCTATTCACTAACTGCAGTTATTGATAAATGAAGTGAAAAAGGCGGGAAAAAATAATTTCAAATGCTAAACACTAAAAACGCGCCCGTCCAAGTAGGCGCGTTTTAAGCATTCGAAATTAATTTTATTAAAATTTATTAGTTTTTGAACCAGTTGAGTAGCTTAGTTATATTTAATTGTATATTTATATTTGTGTAGTGTATTTTCAGTTACTTCATCGCGTGGTAAGTCATAAAATAATGGTGTTGATTCCGGCGTGATTCTCTAAACTTAAAACTAAATTTAACATCAATCTCTCCTTTTCATTCTGTATAGTGAATGATAAGGATACACTGTTGTCAAATTTAAGTTTAGATTTAGAGAATCGTGCCAGAATCGATACCAGAATGTATTTAAAATGAACGAACCCCCTAACCTAGGGGGATCCGTTTCTAATACAGAACAGTTTGCGGTTCCCTCTGTCGCTTATAATGTTGTTTTTGATATTTAAATATAATGTTTTTTTATGAATCAAGGTGATTCCAGTGTAGATACTGACCAAATATTCAATGCTATTGTATATTAGACTGCTCAACCGACTAGGAAAAGGAGTAAATCTGTTAAAATATGCAAAACTTGTATTAAAAAAATCGCAACAATAAAATGGCGGGAAAGAATGCCCTACATCCTTCCTCGATCGCACAGCTGAAGAATTAGTGGAATCTTTAAAATATACGCTATGCCGGTAAAGTGGACCTGAGAACTTTATTATTGTGTTGACTACCTCACAGAAGCTTAAACAACTGACTGGATACAGTTTGTGCCATTCAAAAACACCCCAAGAAACATTAAAATGCGTCACATCCTCATTTTAATGTAAAAAACAAACACAAAGAAAACTGTTCCCCTAAAAATTTTGTTAAACTATTACCGTTACCAGTCTTTTAACATTATGAGGTAACGTTACATTTGCATAATTTTATCGGTAAGTACCTATCAGTTACTGTTTAAACGTTAATTACCTATATTGGTAACGATATTTATTGCATTTGTGTAAAATACAATCGAAAAAGAGGCGGATGACGGATGGTTAGTAACCACTATTACTCGCAGGCTACGCGATGCAGCGTCTGTTTCTTCTATATAAGGCTCTAACTTTTAAGCAAGTTACAAATCCTTCTCAGGTTCGAGTGGTTTAGACTCAAGACGGAGAGGAGACTCCCCCCGTGGGGAGATGATATCCACCTGGAATACATCTAGAGGTACTCGCCAATTCTCGGCTTGAGGTTCCCTAAGGATCTTGCCGTCCCCAAATCCAAGGACGCTGTAAAGGTCATCTGCGACCAACAGCATACACTATATACACTAAAAAAAGAGAGTTTATTTATGACCACACGACTGAAGTGAAACTTCTGTAGCTCCAATGATCTGAAAATCATAAACTGAACCTGAAGATTTGTTGATAGAAAAAAAAACACGAATCCGCGCTGGGTCCGTTATTACTCTCTAATCCGCGCTGTGTTCGTTATCACCCGGCAATCCGCACTGGGTTAATTATTACAAAAGATAATATTGATGATGATAAAAATCTTCAAGAATGAATTCTTCTGAAACTACACTCTCTAACTTTATATTAGATCCATTGTTCCAAATTGTTTGATTGAATGTTATGAGCAAATATAGCTGACTCATCCAACTACTGGGTAGTTAGATGAGTCAGCTATATTTGCTCATAATATAGCTGACTCATCTAACTACCCAGTAGTTGGATGAGTCAGCTATATTTGCTCATGCCCTGGGCCAAATTCTCCAAATCTATAACCAAATTTGACAACAGTCTCTACTTTTCCTTTTCTTTAGGGCATGACATGATACATTATTGTCGCGACCCTGTTGGGGGCGGGGCTGCTACATGCAAACCATATCCGTGATACAAACGGTATCCATCGCGACATTGTAGCCGATAGACACGTGACAAAGAGAGAATCGAGTGACAAAGGGTGGTTACTTAGGTACCACAGATTATATTGTGTGTACCTTCAATCAGCAGCGAATGTACGTCCATGCCTCTCATCACTTTCTTACTCCATCCGTAAGTATAAATAAACTTATGACACCACTGTGCGTGGTGCCACTAAGTCCCGGAGTTACACCATCACAACGGTATGATTCCAGGATTCATAGAACACATAAATAGTATCAAGATTATCTGTAGGCCAATTACCCATGTTAATGTCCTACGCTCCCGCAGAGCGGTGTGTGCATGAGAGCCAAGGCCGTCGCTTGCTCTCCATGCAACCCGTGCATGTGGGCGCACGCATGCACGAGCCGCGTCGCCCACTTATATGGCACTTCTATGGAACGTCTTCCATCTGGCTCAGCCACTATTTCAGCTCCGTCCAGACATAGCGCTGCGCATGTTATAACGCTCTCTTGTGGTCTTTCGGTAGGGTACCCTAGGACCATATGAAAATTACGTAGATCTACGTACTTTTTGAAGTTATACTTCTTTAGGCGCGTTATGAAAAAATGATGAGAGTGAAATTTTAAGATGCGCGCGCATCACTGTAACACAAAAATTAACAGCATGAAGTTGGTCGCTAAAGCGAAATGCTGTTACTTTTGTGTTTACCGCACATTAAGAAAATCTACCAACAAAATAGAAATAGAATCTCTATTTAGTGGGTGCTAACGACTGCATTGTGAAGGCTTATCAAAAGTATTTATTAATCTGGAACAACGGAACCAAAGCGCGATTCAGGAGACTACAGCGCCATCTCTTGACCATTGGTGTAGTAGAACCAAAAACCACATCTTTATTTTTTGTAATAAAGTAACAGTTATAGGTATTCATATTTATAATATCAAAAGTATTTATTAATCTGGAACAACGGAACCAAAGCGCGATTCAGGAGACTACAGCGCCATCTCTTGACCATTGGTGTAGTAGAACCAAAAACCACATCTTTATTTTTTGTAATAAAGTAACAGTTATAAGTATTCATATTTATAATATTTATCCACATGTTTCTAGTTTGTATATTCGGAATACGTGTTTGAGTTTCATACAAGTGCAAATCACATATGTTCTAATAAATTATATTCAATAGCGATTTTAATTGAATATTTTGATTATTTATTTATTTTGAAGTTATACTTCTTTAGGCGCGTTATGAAAAAATGATGAGAGTGAAATTTTAAGATGCGCGCGCATCGCTGTAATACAAAATTTGAACAGCATGAAGTTGATCGCTTTAGCGACTTTTCTGTTGCTTACTTTTGTGTTTACCGCACATTAAGAAAATCTACCAACAAAATAGAATCTCTATTTAGTGGGTGCTAACAACTGCATTGTGAAGGCCTATCAAAAGTATTTATTAATCTGGAACAACGGAACCAAAGCGCGATTCAGGAGACTACAGCGCCATCTCTTGACCATTGGTGTAGTAGAACCAAAAACCACATTTTTATTTTTTGTAATAAAGTAATAGTTATAGGTATTCATATTTATAATATTTATCCACATGTTTCTAGTTTGTATATTCGGAATACGTGTTTGAGTTTCATACAAGTGCAAATCACATATGTTCTAATAAATTATATTCAGTAGCGATTTTAATTGAATATTTTGATTATTTATTTATTTTTTCAAATTAAAACTGAACTTTATTGACTGTGTCCTTTTCCAGACTTTTTATTAATTTATTGTAATTAATTATTTGCATGCAATTAAAAACTAATTTTAAACGATGCCAAAGAAGGATAACTTCTCACGCGCCTACATAAGTACACGCACCCATTTTTTTTCAAATTAAAACTGAACTTTATTGACTGTGTCCTTTTCCAGACTTTTTATTAATTTATTGTAATTAATTATTTGCATGCAATTAAAAACTAATTTTAAACGATGCCAAAGAAGGATAACTTCTCACGCGCCTACATAAGTACACGCACCCATTTTTTTTCAAATTAAAACTGAACTTTATTGACTGTGTCCTTTTCCAGACTTTTTATTAATTTATTGTAATTAATTATTTGCATGCAATTAAAAACTCATTTTAAACGATGCCAAAGAAGGATAACTTCTCACGCGCCTACATAAGTACACGCACCTATTTTTTCTGAGTGAAAAGAAGAAGTTAGGTGAAACCGAATGAAACGAGTATATTTTTATACAATTTGTTTAAAAACGGGAGATAAAACAAAGAGTTCTTGGAGAAATCGCTGCATTGGAAGCATTTACCATGCTGTGGTAAACCATGACTAAATGTGGTATTATAAAACAACTAGCAAACCAGTGAACCAAATGTTCACCAAAACCTGATTTAAAAAAAAATGTATTTAATTAATTGAGAACTTCGGAGATTTTGTGTGGTTTCTCGAAAACCGGAAGTGCTACGTTACTCAAATCCGGTTTGTAGTCTTATCAGACTATTCTTAACTTATAACTTAAATATTCTCTTTATCTATCTCTTACGGTTTGGCCGCTGAAACAGCACCACAGACAGACAGACGGACGGACTTGTCTAATAGATAAGAGATGATTTCTAATAGATCACATGAACAATAGAGTTAGTTATCATGATACACTTGGTAAAAGACTCTAGAAATGGTGGTTTAAATTGCCAAGAGAAATAATACTTACATTTACACATGTTTAAAACTTAGCAAGTTTTCCTGTAACTTTATCGACTGAAAGACATTTCTATTTGCAAAAATTTCCTATTATTGTCCTATAAAAAGAGCAAATTCTATTGATTTCATATATATTAACAAATCTCACGATGGTGGAGCCATGAATCGGTTTCTTAAAATTGATCAATTCAATTTCTTCTTTAATGGCTCCTTAAAGATTAAGCCAGTGTTGCCAGGTCCGATTTTTAAAAATCGGGAGGCGTTATAGAAAAAAACAGTAGATGTATGGAAAGACCTATAAGAAAAACAGTAGATGCAGAGGCGTACTTCTTCCGATTTGCACCCCCCCCCCCTCCCCCCTAGAATTGGTAAATCAAAAACTTAAGACCAGTAACGACTGTGTTTCTGTGGCTTCTGCCGCCCCATAAAGCTAGTGTTCTTTTAGACAATAGCATTTATTTTAAAATTAGAAAATGTAACTCAACATGCAATTTAAAAAGAATATCGTATTTTAAGAAAAACTGGAGATTCATGTACGAAAACAGTAGAACAGGAGAAATTTCAGAAAAACAGGAGATCTCCTGTAAAATCTGGAGACCTGGCAACACTGGATTAAGCCAATGACTAGTGTATGTAGCAGGGATTGTCTATTAAAATTGATCAGTCGAGCATCCCTAGTACTGTCACTGTCATATTGTGGTGCTGTCAGTCAAACTATGAACGTCAAATTGTGCGTCAAACATTCTGTAAAATGTTAAAATTCTTCTTCAAAAATAAATACATGCCTGTTGAAATTTATTAAATACGAACATTATTTCAAATACATACAATTATTGAAGCAGATAATTTTGTACTTTTACATATAAAGTTATTCGTATCATAATGATTAATGACGATATTCAGGAACAAAGTAAAAAGCTCCGTTTCAAACCAAATGTTCAACATTTTACTGATACTATTTTCGATTCTAGAATCAGTAAAGATACGAAGGGCAAAGGTAAATTCAAAACATATTCTGATGTTTTCATAGTGTATTTTCAATGGACCTTCATTGATTGTCTTTTAAAGTTACAGAAGGAGATAAACCTGTTTCTCTTTTTGCTTTTCTACACGTTGAACTTACAAGAGGCTATTTGCTTGAACACGATGAGGAAAGATTTTCGGCAAGACGAGAGAAAGTTTATTCATTTATAAAAATCCCTCAAGAATTAGAAAAGTTTATGGCATATGGATTTTTTCAGTGTGCAGATTCTTTGTTGTTTGTTTACACATTTCTGCCTCTGCGATTCATAATGGCTTTCTGGTCTTTTTTTAATAGGCTGTTTAGGAGTTGTTTTAGGCAAGTATTCATGAAGAAATTGGTATTGTATATCCGGTCCCCATATCTTCTTGTATGTTGGGTCATATGTAAAATAGCAGTCTGATTGAATAGCGTTAATACTTATTTAAGTTGTAAGAAGTTGTTGAATTTGAATAATTTAGCTTAAATGTGTATATATTATCGATAAACATATTCTTCCAGGTATACAAATTATCATAAAAGCATTTTAAAACCTGCTGAAACATGTGATGTACTCAAAGGATTTATATTATTAGTGTGCAGTATATTAATGTGCTATATTGATACCAACATGATGTATCATTTAGTGAAAAGTCAAAGCGTAATGAAATTGTATATTTTCTACAACATGCTGGAAGTCGGAGATCGTTTGTTTTCAGCCTTTGGGCAGGATACAATTGATGCTTTATTTTGGACAGCAACAGAACCCAGAGACAGAAGGCGGGAACACTTGGGTTTAATACCCCATCTATTGTTTGCTATGATATATGTCTGTATCCTTTTCAAAGAACAAGATTAAACTTTTATACCCCAGAGATACTTACTCTTGATGACCCATATGTTTATAAAACATACAATTCAGACTTGATATCATTCTCACTGAGGTCCCCTGTTTGTAGAAGGCAGTCATATTGAAAATGCCTGTCATTTATGACCAAAACTTAGTGAACTCCACAGCCAATGCAAAGTAGTATTTATAGTACTGCAACAGGTGTATAGGTAAAGGTGGCCCCTTTTGTTCAGGTTGGTCACTATTTTGCCACCAGTCTTACCTTAGCCTTATCTAATAAGTAAATTAAAAATCTTCATTATAACTCTCATTTATAGTATTTGTCAATATAACATATAATCTTCTTAACAGTTAATCAGTTCTCCATAGTTTGTTGGTGCTTTTTCAAGCAACTACACTCAATGTGGCATTTAATTCAAATAATAAAAGCTTGCTTATCATCATGATGTCAAACAATGTATGTATCATATAGTACTGTTTCTATAATTGTGTATGTTGTATTATACAGGTTCAAGTATGTTTTCTTCATTGCAGTTTGTTGAATTGAAAGGAAGTGTTTTTAAGAAATTTGACAAAAATAACTTATTCCAAGTGTCATGCAGTGATGTCAGAGAACGCTTACACCTGTCTGTCTTACTATTCATAGTTGTTCTGCAGACTATGAAAGAATATACATGGAGGGAAGAAAGATTTTGGATTCTTGCACCTGATTGTGTTTTAGTTTTGACTTTTGAAGTCATAATTGATTGGGTGAAACATGCTTTCATTACAAGGTACTAAATGGTTATTTCTTATTATAAGATTACTATGCCTGTTTTACAAAAAAAATCTAACATAATCTGCTCCTCAATAGATGCAAAAGTCAGGAGGACTCAATTTGTTATTGTGGCCAGACAATAGCATAGGTAATGGTCTATGCTTTCCCTTAAGATTAAAACAGTATTTTTTGTATTAAGCGCATACGCGCTAAACCTAACTAAATTCAGATGTTCTAGTTAGGATCTAAAAAAGAAAGCTAATTAGAAGATTCTGATTACACTTGACTAATTCGGTTACTGATTCTTTTGTCTGATTATTGAACTTTTTCGTAATGACTCCAGTCCTGTAAAGCAACAAAAAATCGGTCTTTTCGTAGGCCTGGCCGTTGACTCAATAAAAATAAAAGAAAGTAAAAAACGAAAAACGTATTAATATTATTAATGTAATTTTTTCATTTTTGTTCCAAAGATACGGCATATCTTTATACAATTTGATTTGTTACTCCTAACTTCCTTTTCTTTGGCCGCCGACATCGCACACTCGCGTAATTCGTAATTGTAGTCACAATAACGTCCTGCTGTGTGACTGAAGCATCTGAACCCAATCACACATTCCTAAATCGCTTTCTAATTAGGATACTAAATGATTTAGTCAGTCAGAAGCCACACTTCCTCCGATTAAGGATGCTAATTAGGATCCTGACTTCCTAAATGCTATTTCACTTGAATTGAATTAGTTATTGAATGATTTAAAACGTCCGATTTTAGTCAGGTGGAATACGCGCTTTATTCATGTGCTTCTACACAGTGCATGAACTTGTGCATGTTGAGGCACTTGCACAGGCTACAGGAACAATGCATAGCATAGTGAAGACACCGTGCAAAATCATGTGCGGCTAGAGCGACTCGAGTATGTACCAGAGTGAGTCACCCGCGCAACTAATCCGTATGAAACGAACGAACTAAAGCTACTTGTATGTACTTCTGCGCAAATGACTGGAACAAGTAAATACATGGTTTATTTACTTGTTCCAGTCATTTGCACCATGTACAAGAACAAGGAGGTAACTTTTGACAATTTGCACGGTGTAGAAGCACCCTTACTTACTTATGTTAGAAAGACTGTCTAGAAATAATTATGATATTGGCTAATTTCATGGGATATGTATCAGCATTACTATTTTTCCAAATAAAATATGAAGGAAACTTACTAAAATATATTATTATTCTTTTTGTTTTTCACTGAAATTATATAAAAATAAAATAAAATACATTTATTTCAAGACATGGTCTCATATATGTTAGTAACAATTTCCTTACCTATGTTATATATAATATTGGGAATTTTACTCTGTTGATGATGTTCTTTATAATGTAAATAAATCTTTCCTTATTTTTTTTAGATTTAATGAAATACCATATGGTGTATATAGAGAGTATACTGTAAGTTTAGCTTACGATGTTGCACAAACTAGACAAAAGTATGCTTTCAGTGATCACTCTGATTTAGTTGCAAGACGAATGGGTTTTATTCCATTGCCACTGGGTGTAGTTATAACCAGGGTTTTGGTTCATGCTGTCAAAATAGATGGGTAAGTTTTGTAAACCTGGTAACTTTATTAATCTTAATTATCTGATTCACTAAGAATTTAGTTAATGTTGTTACTTTCCAGGTTTGCTGCGGTTCTACTTATAATCATTGCATACTTTTGTTTGTTGACCATAAGGGTACTTGTATCTATTGTGATACTAGGAAAAGCCTGTGATTTGATAACTCAACATCAGACGGACAAAAATGAAAGTCACCACACAACACCGAAAAAGTATGACAGTATTTCTACTTAACAATTAACTGGTTATGTTTACTCGTTCTCTGTTTTCATTTTGATTAAGAATTTTTTATTTTTTTATTGATTGATTGATACATCTGTTAAACCTACATGTCTTTCCTAGGGAGCAAAAAGAGTGTGCAAAGGAAATAATCTTGACTACGCTCAAAACTCCAGAAGCCGTTATGCCACCTACAAAAAAACCAGTACAGTTAAAATTTCAAATTCCAGAGGACATCGTTAAGGTAAAGAAAAACGAAAACATTTTTTTTTCCATTCTGGCTTGATTTCGTAGCTACCTACATCTTTCTGTAGGATCATTATTGTTATTCGTTTATTTTGCCTAGTTTTTTTTGAAAGCGTGGTGATTGTTGTTTTCCTTAGAACGAACCGTTGGTAGACGCGTCTGTCGGTGCGGCCGCGATATTCTCCAATAGCGCGATAGATCTCAACGGCGTTTGTTACCTCAACGACAAGATGAACGCACCAGTCAAGCAAGAGCACTGTCTTGAACCAGAAGTGGTAATTAAAAATAATCATTTTCTATTAAAAATAATTCTTTCTATTTAAAAGTAATTAAAAATATTTTTCCTAAGGCTAGGAAAAATTCGACACGGCCGTCAGGGCGGCGGTAGCATAATGGTCAGTGCATATTTCGGATAGTGAAGAGTGCGGGTTCGAGTCCCGTCTGCTGCCTGGTCCGCGTGGATTTTATTCTAGTAATATTTTCTTTAGATTGGAACATCTAGCAGTTAAATGCTTAAAAAATAAAAAACAATTATTTTTATGTTTCAACATCTACAATTCTTTGAATTAACTGTTTGTTATATTTTCATGCACACAAATAAATATATCTTACGCTCATACCAATTAGCCTAGCCCCATATAGTATAGCTATTACTAATAATATTATAAAAATGGATAGCTAATAATTATAAACATAATAATAATATTAAATATGAAGATTCACAGAATCAGGCTCATTATTGTCCCTAGGCCCTAGGGCAAATACATAAAATATAATTTTACAAGCGAAACTCCTTTATTTATCGTTCCACCAACAATTATAATAATAACTTCAATAACATTGGTATATTTAACACAAGCCTTACAGTGCTTACTTTGGGGCTAGGCTAATTGGTGTAAGTGTTGGAAATATTTATTTAATATGTCACATAGTAATTTAAAGAAATTTCTTAAAACTAAAATTAAAAGACAACATTTAAATAAAATATTTTTGCATGTTTTTAAGTTTTGTCTTCTTATGTATTTTTTTTAAGTATAATACCTGTTCTATAATGTTTTTCTGTAACTTATAAGTTAAATTGCTAGCACTGTAGGTCGCCTCTTATAATTTCACTGTAACCACAGAACAATAATATTAAAATGTATGACTGTTAGTAGCCACAAATAAAGAGAAAAAAAAATACGGTGCGTATTTACCCTAGGGCCAAATGGGCCACAGTCTCTTCTATTTAATCTCTATAGGGCATGCTAAGGATATACGGCTGTTACATAAACGACTAATGGCGCGATTGCCTACACTTGGTCATTAGCCCGAATACTAAGTGTAAATGAACGGAGTCGAGTACGCCCGAATTGGGGTAGGTAGTTTTCGTTTTGGTTACCCGATACCATCTACCAGCCCGTATTCCAGTGTAAATTGCTTCGGTTCCTCGAATTCGAGTAATGTCTTTGTGCACCCGAATACGGGCTAACGACCCAGTGAAATGAAATGAAATGAAAAGTCATTTATTTAGTCTAGGCTGTTACAAGCACTTGTGAAAGTCAAGAAGCTACGCCATCGGTTCGCAAAACTACGGCGGGAGACCTTGTACTGAGAAGAACCGGCAAGAAACTCAGCAAGGGCTGCTTTTTTCTCCCTGTATTGATATAATATATATTGATATTGATAGAGTCGTCAAGTTGAAAAATGACTTCAGACATACTTCTGAAGTCACCTTCCATTACATTATTTAGGGTATAGATATATAGTTACAACAAATTTTATATTTAGTATATATAGGAAGCGGCATTAGATAGGTACCATACTACTGTTACAAAACTGACTCATACCCATCAAATAAGAAATTACAAGAAACACTATGTCCATGCATTACGATCATTTAGATAATCATTAACTTTATAATAGCCCTTATTCATAAGAGTATTCTTAATCTGAGTAATTAAGATATAGGTAAGTCTGTCGTTTATATCTACTTCTATACATGTATACTTATATATGTATCAGTATATTTATCCTATCTGTTACCCTAATATCCCATAACACAAGCCTAACAGTGCTTACTATGGGGCTGGGCTAATGGGTTTGTGTTGGAAATTTTATTTTTTATTTTATTTTGTTTATTTAGGCATGCTAACAGTCACACATATTCATACATTAATGATTGAATCGAATTCTTTACAATTTTCTTATATGCAGACCAATTATAAGAATACACAACAATCACAATAAAGTTAATAAACAACTTGATACAATTCAAGAAATTGACATGATCATAAATCTATATAGGGTGAAATTGAATGTTTCAATGAAACTTCGTGAGATTGTTTGGTTATGTGTATAGAGTATGCCTGTTTTTTTTCGGATTTTTTTGAAGTATATTTTTTTCATGTATTTATTTATAATTTGTGTATTTTTCTGTCCTTTCCTCCTTTTGAGTAGTTATTCATTTTAAACAAAAAAACTTACATATCCAGTGAAAAACAACTAATAAATAAGCACTTCTAAAAAACGGAAAAACATTAAAATTCCACCGCGGGTCAACGACCGACCGCGCCCGCCAGCCGTTGAGTGAGTAGGTACCTACCTCTACACAGAGCTCAGCTGACTCGTTTGATTCCACACAATACAATAAAATCGTCTTAGATGCCTTTATTGAAATTGAAATAATAAGCACAAATGTCATCTTCTCTTAAGCAGAGAAAAACTTTAAAAGTTAATAATAATTTTGTCACGATTGGAAATAGGCAAATGTTAAACAAAAAGAAATACTTATTGCAGTTCAATACTTGGGTCAGAATGAAATTTATAACCAGGTATTCAAAAGTACTTACGAGACCGGCGATGTAGGTAGGTACAACGAGGAACGAGGAACATATTCATTTTTTTCACTAGTACTTTTTATCAAATCAATCACACTGGTAGTACACAATTAGTTGTTTCTAATCAAAAAGTATTTACACTAGTAATAAAAAGAGACTTAAATTATTATCTGCAAAATTGTTGATCTAAACCACCATTTTGCTGCAATCAAAGGTAGGCATGTTTGCGGACGTGTCTTTTTACCTTTTTTAAAGTGTCCCTATCACTACTCACTGCACAAAATGCAACTTCTATGGTTTAGGGACTCATTCGTAAACCAAACCTACTTCGTCACACTCGCGATAGCAGTACACCATTTCTAAATATTCTTGGTTCGTATACCGAGGCATAATGAAATTATCACAGTTTATGTCACTAAGTCAAAAGATGCGCACGCCCACTCGCGATTGATATACTTGCGACTGCGTTGTGCATGCAATCAAAGCAAACCACCGCGTGCGGGGAAGAGGGGAGGTGGGCGGAATTCACATCATCAAAGACGCTGCAACCGGCGCTAGTTGCCAGCGTGCGGCGCGCCGCCCGCCCGTGCTTGCCGCAAAACAACATATTGTTATGTGTGTGTGTGTGTGACTGTGGCTGTGATTAAATGTGTTGGGAATTTCATGACGTGGGCAAATCAGACACGAAGAGTTCCTTCCTTCACTAAGCTCGTAAGTTATACCGATTTGCTCTGTATGATTTTCCCCAATTTTAAATAAGCCGTTTGTGCTTAAGTTTTAATTAAACGAGGCAACTAACATTAACAATAAAAAAGAAGTTCTTACACTAACAGACAGGCTTTACCGATTTAAAATCGTGACAGTCATACCTATTAACTTTATAGGATTTTTAATTGCTCTAACAGAAGATTTTTTTTATTGATTAATTACCTGTGCTTTATGAAATAATATTCAAAGGTATTGTGTATCAGTGAATAAATAATTATAATATAGCATCTAAGACTATTTTATTGTAATGTTTTTTAAAAGTGAGGATCAAAGCGGAGAGTAGGTAAGCGCCGAGTCATCTGCGCGTGTAGTAGGTACCTACACAGGCGGCTGCCGGTCGTCGCCCCGACCGGCGCTGATCTCGACTGGAGGCATAATGAAGGCATTCATTAAGTTTCCGTTTTTTTAGTAGGCCTTATTTTAAGTGGCTTTATAACTTCTATGTAGACGTGTTTAAAATGAATAATTACTCATAAGGAAGAAATGACAAAAAAATAACCAAATAAAAAATTAAAAAACGAAAAATTTTATTTTAAAAAATCCGATAAAAATCAGGCATACTCTATACACGTAACTCAACAATCTCACGAAGTTTCATAGAAACATTCAATTTCACCCTGTATATTATGGATAGACCGATTGACTGCGTTAATTTACATTTACATACACAAAAGAAAGGAATAATTAAAAAACAAAAAACGAGCGAGCTATACAGTAGTCGTGTATGATGTGTAACATTTGAAACCTCACCTTATATTAGTAAAAAAAGAAATAAAACCTACTACAAAAGGAATAAGCCATTTGAACATTATGTTCTAAAATCAAATCAAATAGCGCGCGCTTCCCAAACTTCCTGTTACACACTTCCGTCCCACTTCATGTAATCGCTCCCACAAATTGCACGAAAGCGAGAGGAAAGATGTTACACATCAAATATGAGAAAGGAAATATTGAGTAAAATTTATTTATTCATATTATAGGGCGATATCACGTGTAGTGCGCCAGACATCACTGCGGCATCGGCCACATCGCAGCCCGAAGCGACGGATCGACCGAATTCCCCGCACGGTGATGGACTCAAGTTGCGTTCAGAATCCGAACCGAATCTAGTGAAAGCCGGCGAAGAGGCCACGTAACATACCCTAATATGTTGTACACTACTGTTGGTCTATTAAATACTAGTCTGTTTTGGTCGTGGATTATGTGTGATTCGTTCAGTGATGTTGATATTTTATCGGGGGAAGAAATGACACCGGAACAACTTTAGAAGATGCTGGATCGTTTGTGAGTTCAGAGTCTAGTAGATACGACGTGCTTTTTTTTGCTGTCTAAGTCGAAATCAATCGAGAACAAATAAAAGAATTTAGCGAGGGTACTGTGAATTCCTTTACGAAATTGAAGTGGTCATTAATAGAAGTAAAGGGCACTTTACACACGGAAAATTGCAGCCAAATATCCCTGCCCTGTAGTTTCTGCTTCCTGTAGTCAGTAAAGATACCAGAGGCCCAAGCATGAAGTTTGATAGCTTCATAATCGTATTGCATCGTCAAAGTTTCTATGACAAGTAAGCAGCGCCCGCCATTTTGTTCTTTACGGACGTAAGAACAAATAAACTCTATTCAAAATATAATGCGGCTGCAGACTGCAAATTGCAAGCGCAAAATGCAAGCGACACCACTGGTTTCTATAAATCTCTATGAAATTTTTTCGAACATGGCGACACTGCAGCCTGCGCGTCAACGCCATTATGATCAGTACCCTTAGTACGAGTTTTACAATTACGAAAACTATGATAGTTTTCGTGAGTTCGCACTTCGTACTAAGGGTACTGATTTTATTGTTTTTGTTTCAATACAAATAAACAGTTTTTATTTTCTATCATTAAATCATTTGCGTCTTCTTAAATTTTAAGTATATTTGGTTATTTTTCACCAAAATGGACATAGAAACATAATTTACAATTACGAAAACTATGATAGTTTATACTAAGATACTTAGATAGAAAACTATGCAGCGGAAGTCTGAACAAACTAGCTTTTTCCATACAAAATTTGACGCTTACGATAATTTACGCAGCTGTCAAAAACTCTTGCTTGGGCCCCTCGACCTTACTGCAATGCTAATGTTCTAACTATATTTAATAGAAATGGGTCCTAAATTAAACCACCTTACTTTACATTCGTATTTTTTTATGATCTTTACTAGTCCAGACACCTTTTTATCAAAGCTTATGCGTTGAAACTAGATTTGCGTTAAAAAAAAAAGAATAAAACAACTACCCGAAACAATGTATTTATTTATTGAATACTAATTAAGTATTTATAGAGTATGTATATCGTACATAACTGTTTTAAGTAAATTATTATAATTTGTACTTTTAGTAAGTTAAATTATTTTTTAAATTATGTACCTATATGTATAGATAAACGAAAACATAACCAATAGGTTCCCTTTATTAGATGTAATTATGGGAACTACTATGTACTCGAATTTAGTAGCAATATAAAGAGTTTTCGAGCGTTTCTCCTTAAATGATCGCTTTTTTCATTTTTGAACTTAGTTTTTTTAATAAAGAGCTATTTTGTCATCTCTTCATTGAGAAGCCGGTGCTTTTGGTTTACACCATGCTTCAGCAATGAATTGACCTTGGTTATCAAAATTTTATTATAATTTTCAAAGGGGGATAGAACCGATTTGACATATCGACCCCCCGCCATTGTGATTTTTTTTAGCAATCGCGGCGCACTATGAAAGTCGTAGGTATGGGTAGAAGGGACACAGACGGAAGTACAAAAAAAATAAAGTAACATGGTACCCACTAGGCGTCAGATTTTACAATCTGACGCCTAGTATCCAAATAATCGTTCCCAGGTTGATTATTATTTTTATTACTGTTTATTGGAAAAGAGTAGGTCATACATATTACATGTACCGTTATCATACATATTTGCATCATATATTTTCTGTCCTGGTCTACCGTCGAGAGTCGAGACAATGAAAGATAAGCCGTTACTAACAAAAAGTATGACGGGAGCGGGATAGAGCTGTAAGTTTAGGCATAATAATTTTTTTAATGATCGATGTGTACTTCTAAGTCGGTCTTTACCTACCTCGTAACCTAACGTAATACTTTGGGGTACCATGTTATTGGAATTTTTTTGTTCGTTCAAGTCTTCTCTATCCATAAAAACCACATTGATCATGCGTCTCGATTATGAAAAAAAAAATAGCGGCGGATCTACATGCCAGCTATCTTAAGGAATGGTTCAAACCCCTTTATAGTTGTACGTTATCAGATAATGTGGTGTCTACAAAGTTCTATGTAATGCCTTTGACCCAATTTCGAAATGTAGGTTGGCATACCTATATCGATTTGTAGTCCTAAAAGTCAGTCGTGCCGTGCATATCGCCGCGTTATAACTGCATTGCGAATAACGTATCATTATTTGAAATAAAAAATGTTAAAATTATTGATCGATAAAAAAACTTGATCTATGTCTATGACGCGTTGTAATGTGCCTGGTTCCATTGGAATAGTGGGGGAATGAGATTGCAAATTAGTGCCACTTAAATGCCACAAATGAAAAGTGAATGATTCATGTATTTATTTATTAGTAGCGTTAAAATTAAGACTGACAAAACTTTGGGTGGTGCTTACTACTAATAAGTTTACGTGTTTGATTGAAAAGTTTAATTTATCTCATAACTTTTTAAAGTGTTTATTATTTGTAGCTTTGTAGTGTAAATTAAATCTTAACACCTACCTTTTACCTATATTATGTTTTTACCATTCCATTGGGGATAAATTGTCTGTATCGTTTGTCTCTGTAACCTTAATGATTAATAGGTGTTTATTGAATGTTAGTAATTTGTTAGTTTAATTAAAAACAAAATTTAAACGAATATTGTGAGGGGGTACTTGGTATCCTTTCAATTGTATTTTGTAAAAGTTTTAAAAGAGTAAAGGTTTATCTTATTCACGTAACATGTAATTTGCGACAGTAAATAATGAATTTATACACAGCGTTTTGTATGTTATAGATATTCCTATTAATCCAACGCCCACACTTATAGATGTCAATATATATATTTTTTAAGTTTGATTAATGTTGGTGACCTCACTTACGTCATTATATGAGGAGTGACTTTTCAAAAAGCCTCATTTTCATTTAGATAAAATTTTCAAAAACGATAATTTCTGTGGTGATAACAAAAGATGTGGTTTCCTTTTTTTAACTTCAGTTATATATTCTTTGGTATAATAGAATTTATATAGTGGAAGAAAAAAAAATCTAAGTGATATTTGACTTTTAAAATACATAAATAAATTGTTTGGAAATATGGCCTTTGCTTGAAACTTTTGATTATCACATAGGCTTTGTTTTACTGTGGGAAAATATCCCTAATAAAGCGCGGGTAATACCGCGGGGCGCAGCTATGTAGTATGATATAAATGAAATGTAGTTTCTTTAATTAAAAATATTTTTTCAGCGCTAAGAATTCTTAAATTAATTAATAATTAAATTACTTAATTCTTAAATTCTAAGGCATGACATATCTTCGGATTCATTGCTTTCACATTCTGCATCATTCTGTATAGCATCTATAATATTTTTATACCAGATGAGATCAGATTGACAAGTTGTCAAACATTAGACTAGAACGAAAATGTCAATATTTTTTTAACTTTATCTATGGTCACAGTGATACCATGAAACTAAATTATAACCAAGTCCAAATTCTCTAAAAGATTTGGCCATGTTTTTGTAACCATTAAATAGGCCATTTTGTTAAAATTTCTTTGAAATACTACAAATCTATGCAGGAAATGTGGCGTATTGTTTAAATTGAATTAACCGCTTGTTCATACATGGAATTCTGTCTGGTTTGATAGATATGCCTGTATTGGTATCCATTTTTGGATAGGAAAGAAGGATTTCTGTATCGTTCTTTTTACGTAAATAGGTGCTATTTAGCCTTACCAATTAGATTCCGTCGAAATTTGTACATAGTTTAAAAAATTGAAATACGGCCTTTTGAAAAGTCACTGCTCATAATATGGAATTCAAAAGAATATAACAACTTAGTCAAGCATAAAATTTAATTGAAGTCTCGTAAGTGCGGCTGTGAGAAAAAGTTTTATTTTAATTTTAAATAAGAACAGTCGTGTCAAAATATGCGATATTTTAATAGTCTGATTTAGTCTTCGATCAATCGAAGGAGCTAGCTAGTGACATTATAGCAGAAGTTAACTTAGTACTTCTCGTCAAATAAATATGTTCATCAGAAATGCAATATCCATATTTCAAAAATTATATTTTATCTCTGGTAAATTTAAGGATCATTTTAAAATATTTTATTTATGTAGGTATTAATTTGTTTTAGTTTCAAAGCTTTTATATTATATTGGTGTTGTACTCCTCAGTACTTTCCAGAAAATGATTTGTCCAGTTTGTGTAATTTTCTTTTATTAATAAACTATTTTGTTTTGTTCTTTTTGTTTATAACTTAATCGATTTACCTTCTACTTTTATCATAATTTTTGCTTCAATGTTAAAACAATAGATATGATGGTAATTTCTAAAATGCAGAGATTTAAATAATAAATAAATATAGTTTAATGAGTATCTTTGTGCAACAGTACCATTGCCAGAAAAAATCGGATTAATAAGATTTATAACGTGAAAGTGTCCTTGGTGCAAACAATGCAAGTATGATTTACTTTACTGACACCTAAATTATAGATTACTGTTTTTCACCTGTTATTTTAATCAGTTTGATTCTACTGAAGTACAAAATATTTTAGTCTCTTCAGGTAACGTGGTTCACACGCAATTCGTACTTCATTCATTTCAACATTATGCCATCTAGCGGAACACCATGAAAATTGATGGTACGCAAGCACGCAAAAATGCATGTGCTTACACGCGCCGCGCGCCATCTCTCGACGGTATCGGATAGCTTTTAGAATCGGTTCTATGAAAAGATACGCAAGATGTCTCTAGTTGTTGTTTGATTAAAATTACGTTGCACTTAAAAGCATAGCTAAGTAGGAAAACTGTGTTAGCCTTGATCTTGATTGTAGTATCACCTCACAATCAAACTTAAGTCTACCATTACAAGGTTATTCCTTTGGAGACATTTAGAAGACGTTACATAGTAGTCACTATGGCTATCCGTCCAGTTATTACTTAGTTCATCCCAATAATATTAGAAATAATGTAAATTTTAGACTGAAGATTTTTCTTTCATTGTAAAGCTAGTTTAGCTTTTGCGGTACCTATAGCAAAATTTAATTATAATCATTCCCTTGCGGAACGGAAATGGAATCAAGAACATCACAATTTGAGACTGATAAACAGAGAGTTTTCCTATTACCAAGCAGTATATATATCTATTAATAAAATTAAATATTTTACTAATTAATAGATAATCTCATTAAATGTCATTCATGTGCTTTCATGGCTCCATAATTTTTCAAATCCAGGATTATTATTGCAACGCCAAAGTTATTGACCGAAACAATGGTGAAAGGCACCTTATCGTTACAATACCGAGTTTCTGAAACTAGTCTATCCGTTGATAGGTATTTTTCTACTGGTGAAAATTACTTAACTTTGTTACACTCCCGGTGTAGATTGATAGACATGATTCGCATGGGGCGTATTTTAAAAATTTACATTTTTTGCGAAAGTAAGATTTTTTGTATGTTATTCAATCACGCAAAAGCTACTAAACGTATTTGGATTAAATTTGGTCTGCATATAGTTTATGACCTGGATTGAGACATAGGATACTTTATATCCCGGAAAAATGTTAGGTGTACCTGTGGGATTCTCAAAAAAACGCACACGAAGTCACGGGCGGCCGCTAGCGCATTATAATTATGAAAATATTTGTATAGCTGGGTAAGGAAATCAAGGATTTGGTTAGTTCTTAGCCTGGGTTTAGTGTTACACGGACGGACCGTGCGAAGGACCGCCGTCCGGAGCTATAGTATAGATAGGTAGTCCGCGGACCGTGTTCTATTAAACGCAACAGTTAATTTTTATTTTATAGCTCTGGATAGTACTAAATCCAGCCTGGGTTCTCAGTTGTTGATATTTGTATTGTGTTCCTTTTTTCACAACGTTAAAAGAGTAACTGTCAATATAGTGTGCCAATAGACATTTGCCTCTCTAAAATTATCTAGTTCTTTAATCTTCTGCCAAGTATTTTGTGGATTTAGAACAAAGATAAGTTGGCACTTTTATAAAAAAAACGGGAATTATTAAAGGAAGGTGACGGGAAAGAAATAAACATTGTAAATTCAAACGACAACTTTCAAGTTTCCAACAATTTGTATTTTCGCACCTTAGGTGTTTTCATATTAAATAAAAATTTCTTTTCTCTTATATACACATTAAATCCCAAAATTAGTCAGAGTGTATTTACAAATATATTAAATAGAATTTAGTAAAATTAGTGAATTTTAACAAAAACTACGTACTTATGACTATTTATATTTTAGAACATCAACAACATCTTTCACTCTGGTGAAATACATAAAGACAGCTTATATTAATAACCATACTTACACAAAATTCGTAAAGAATTCGCACCCATTTTCTAGGTAATCATGTGAACACCATTTATAAAAGCTTGTTCATCATTTACATTTGAAAAGAAAAGTTCTAGGAATCAAATTAAAATCTTATCATGATCCATATCACCGTGTACAGGGTCGTATAGTAACAGAGTTTGTCAACAACGAAAGTCGTCCCTGTCGGGCCTGCTTCCGGTTACTCGTAACCTAATACAATCACTGTATATCAATAACGTTAACGCGTTGCAACATTACGTAAAGTGTGTAAGAATTTAGTCTTTTCCGTTACATTTGTCACTCGTTTGACTAATTTCAATTATTTTTTATTTAAATTCTATCTAAGCTAGCCTTTTCTATCGGAGACTTCGTCTCTTCTATAACAGTAAAAACATTATAAACTCGTAGACCATATTCTCAAGTATACGCGTTGTTACCGCGTGTTCGTTGTGAGCGCTCTGAGGCTGAGCAGTAGGGAACGTTGTCCCAGGTGTCGTCAGTAAGCGTGGCAAATAAGGCGTACTACTACTCCTACTCTAACAACGTTAGGCTTTATGAGTAGGTAAAATTATTTTGCCTCTTGTAATTTTACTGTAAATCATTCAAAAAGAGGCCGGATACGGATACTCATATAAATGCATTAGATCCATGTCACAACAAACGTGTGCCAAAGTTGGAAAATTTGTACGTTGACACCTGGATTGCACCGTTCCCTATTGCGTTTAGATTTGTAGGCGCAAGTGTTAGTAATATTATTGTCAGATATCCTAAATTCATAAAGACCGACATTTTTGAATGGCCCACCCTGTTGTGTTATAATAAATCACTGTCTGCTTGGTGACATTATAAAAATTTGTTTCCTATAATATTGTGTGGATTGCATTACTTTATTCTTGTTTAATCAAATCAATTAGGTAGGTAATCACGTATTCTACAGTAAACAATGAGTAACAAAGTGATTCACCACACGACAATACTTATGTTACAACAGAAGATATCATTATAAGTCGAAGGCATTTTTGTAAAAACATGTCTATAATTAACATTAAAATGGAAATTTCTTTTGTGCTGAATTTTGTACTAATGTAGAGAAATTAACTCATTTATATTACGTTAGTAGTTATGAATAGCATACGCGGTGTGAATAGTACTGGCATAAGTAGAGCTTCTTTCACAATGTACTTTCATCTTAATTTATATATTTATATAACCTATTTACTACTTCTGGGAGCTTAAAATACTCCTTAGTCATCGCAAACAGCAATCATCAACTCGTCTTAAAGTTGAACTCCCTGCTTCTTTACTGGCAATGGCAATCGTGAAAGCGGCCCACAGACTAAATAATCGATACTAGTCAACATTTTATCAGAATTTGCATCTTAACATGATCACAGTAGTAACAGAAATCTAGTAAGTATATTAGAAACGATCTTATAGTATAATTATATCTATACAAAAACTTATGAGTATTATAAATTAAGAGTCCTCTCTATAGGTACTTGAAAGTAATTAATAATGATTAAGAGATCATAATTTACCGACATACTCTATTTACTATATTAGTCTATAATACGCACATTATAAAAATATATGCCACTGGGAAACACAATATTGAAATAACAAAGTAACAAGTGCGATACTGTAAATAGAAAGTCAGATGTAGAGATATGAGAGAAACAAGAGATACCCCGTTAATGTTAACAGCGGTTCTTTCCAAAATAAGCAGAATTGAGCAAATTTTGTTTAATTAAAATTTCTTGAGCAAGAGAAGATTGCGACAGCATCTGTCGAAATTAAACAAATAGAAAATTAATATAAACAAGGTATTATAGAGAAAATTAAAATAGTCGACAAACTCACGCTCATAATACATCTTCGACTAGAAATATAAACCAAAATAATATTAAATTTATCACTTATTTAGCAGTCATGTTACACTAAGTAGTATTTATATGTATACAAATAAAATTGCAGTGGCACGTTGTAAAGTTAAATTAATGGCACAGTTTCACGTTAGTTTTGTAAAGTATAAGAATATTGAATATACCTACAATAGTTAAGTAGGTAGATCACAGTGGAGAAATATTCACTACTCAAATAATCTGCATCACCACAAACGTACAGGAACTTGTCGGATTCACTATTTTCCAAATTCATGATAAATATTTCCCCACGATCGTACCTGCCAATAGGCTCATGAAATATCACTTCTGTACGATCACTTTTAATGCAAAGACACCAAAATTGAACGTATGAATGATCGTTACCAATGCGAGAGATATTTAAGCTACAGATCTACCGCCAGATAGAAAGATATGTGTTCATAATGCGTCAGGACGACAATGAGGGCGCGCAGGCGCTGCCAAAATTTTAACGAAACGTACATAGACGCGCACATTGGTCATTTTAGGCCATATCGCTTCGTATCTACGTTTGTTCCCAGTCAAGTTCATTCAATTAGCCTACCTATCTAAATAAATACATCGAACTCACTTCCTAATTGTGATAATTACAAATATGTATAAAAAGATATATATATTTTAATATTATATATAAATTTCAGTGAATTTACAAAATGTAGAGTTAATAAAGCTTCGTTAAAGACAATCTTTTACAACTAAGCGATGAAATTATTTGATAACTTCAACGTGAAAATATATAAAAGTTCAATGTTCCGCCTGAGGCGTTTTAGGATTCGCAGGCGTCGCGCTGTCGCGGCTAGAATGAGCGGATGCGGACGCGGACGCGGGCGAGGGTGCGGGAGAGGAGGTGGGCACAAGCGCGGGAGCGCGCTCCGGCGAATGCTAGAGGGCGTGTGGATCGTGGTGGTGCGTGCCGCCGCCACCGCCCCGCTCACGTTTGAGCCGTTGCTTTAGGTGCACTTTCGCGTGTCGCTTCTTCTCGTCGGAACGTGCGAATTTGCGTCCGCATATATCACACGCGAACGGTTTCTCACCTGTGTGTGTCCGCACATGTGTCGTGAGGTGGTCTGATCTGCTGAACGATCGCATGCAGATACGACACTGAAATGGCTTCTGGCCTGTATGTATGCGTATGTGCCGAGTTAATTCGTCCGATCGCGAAAAACGCCGGTCGCAGCTGTCTACCGGGCATGCGTACGGGCGCTCGTGTACGGGGGTTTTGCTCGGCCGATTGGGGTATTTCCGCGGTTTGACCGCTACGAGTCTCAGCGGTTGCGTACTTTGCTGGTAGACCTGTGACAGAATCTCGTGGCCCTTGCTCGTAGAAGGATTGTATTCGGCGAGTTGCACTGGTCGGTCGCTGGCCGGACTCGGATACGGTTCGCGTTTAGGCAATCCCGAGGGCCCGGGAGTGGGCTGAGGAGGAGGAGCGTACTCCTGCGTCTCCCACGTATGTTGGGGTTGCGGTTGCGGCGGCGGGCGGTACTCGCAATGCTGCGGCGGCGGGCATGATTGCGGCTGAGGACAATACGACGGCTGGCACTCGGGCGGGAGCAAGTCCACTCGCTCCTCGTACTCCTGTTGAAAGTATTTGTCCATGGCGCCAGGTCCGGGACCTGGTGGTAGGAGCCATTGCAGCGGCGGGGAAGGCGCACGCTTGCTGCCTACCGGGCCATACAGAGACGCGCTTGCGCTCGACGCATTGCTCGCGTCCTCGGCGCGTGCGCCTGGAGACAGAGACGCTTCGTGCTTGTGCCGTCGCGGAGAACACCCCAACGACAACTCATCGCCTGGTAATGTACCTATAACAAAACAAAAGTAGTAATTGTAGATTTGCTGGATTTTTTAAAAGTATATTAGGAAAGTGGTACACGTTTAAATACATGGGAGTCTTTTATGTTATCACGGGACAAATGAAAAAAAATATACTTATTATTACGAAAGCGATACACGATTGAATTTGATACTTTACACGTTGTCATATGCCACATAACAAAGAATTGTGTAGTTCTTGAAAATAAGTGTATAAATATATATTTTATATTATTATTCTCTAGTATAAATTCAGTAAAAAATATTTTATTGAGGGAGAAATACGAACTTATGTTTTAATACTTATAACAAGAAAAACGCGCGCGTCAGTCAGTTATGAAATAAAAAAAAAACATTTTGCAACTATATCTATAAAGCTGGAATCGGATAGTTTTAGTGGTAAATGATTTGCATTTGCGTTGCGCAGGCGGAAGGCAGGGATGATAACGCCCAGGATGCCGATAGCTCCTATCGTCCTTATATCTCGGCCACCGACCGCTTTTTATTGCACTATCAAAAATACTACGGAAAAATATGCCGTAAAAGACGAGAATTATAGAAGTTAAGTTTTTTATAAGAAGTATAATAAAAGTCCCTTGCGGAGGCCTAAATGCAGCAGTGGACTTCCATCGGCTGATGATGATGAGTATAATTAAAATTTCTAAAAAATAATAATCAGTTCATTGTTTGGTTACCTACGCATGTACATGTATGGCGTGCGTTGATTTATTTTTCTAATCTCTCAAAGAACTTTGTTTTACTTTTTTTTTTCTCTTTTGTAATTTAAGTAAAGTGTGTACCTAACTGTGTGATTAAAATATTTTACAAAATAAGTACATATTTTTTTTCAATCCGTACCTATAAGTACAATTTATACCTTCAATACCTTCAATCTTTGAATTACTGAATTGAGTATTTTATGTACACATTATTTTAAATAAAAACAAACATTGTGTAAAATATTTTTCGTAAAAACGTATAAAAAACGTTTATAAGTAAGTACTCAAATCAATAAAGAATTTAAAGGAAAACAGTAAAATACTAAAATCAATTCAAAGAGAAGTCTTGTGACCACTGTGCCTTAAAAGATTTAATATTTAAAAAAAAAAGTAAAAGTTAATAAATGCGCGATATAACTCGTCAAAATGGTTTACTTATTTAAATATTAATTATTAAGTGCGCGGAAATGTAAGAAATCAGCAGTTATATTATTAATAAATTTATAAATAGTATTATTATTTATAAATAGTATGAATAATATTCCTGATGAAATTGTGCGACCTAAAAGTTTTATTGTGGCTCCACCCATTAAAATAGTAGTTTAATTTCGAAGAAGCTAAGATTCCTAAGTACTCTTTACTGAATGGTTGCATGAGAAATTTAATTAATATTAGGTACAGTCTTTGTTTAGGTTTTGTTTCACACGGCTACAACCATTTAGGCCTCACTGTGATAGAAGTTCCTCTTTGAGTTAAAGATATTAATTTCTTTAAATTATTGTAATATAAATTTAAACTAATTTTTATTTGTTTTCTTGTAACCTTTTTTTTAGTTAAAACATAAATACAATAGTTACCCTTCTGGAACCGTAATTCGTGAAATCACTTTTAAAAGAATAATCACTTAGCACTTAGATGCCGGGTAAGATTGGAAATTTCATTTAGGCATAAGTTTTCACATTAGTTGTAACACTATAAATTAAATGATCTACCATCCTTAATGGCGCATTAGTACGCATGAAGAGGAACTTTAAATTTCACTTTAATATCAAACACAGTAATTTAAGCTATCCCGGTTTTCTTCGCGGAATTCAAAGGCCTCATAGACGCATGATGGTGAATGGGTGTAGTAGCACTATTAAATCTGAAGGACGTCGAAGGACACGTGATCGGAGAAGCGTATTGTTTATTTACAACGTTATCGGTCGAATGTCGGCGGGGGCGAGTCCCGCCTACAGTTCCCGTCGGCAAGTATCTGGAGGTGATGGGCAAGGTGAGCGGCACCAGGTCGGGTGAATGCGAGGCGCACCTGATATAGGTGGAGGTTCCAGCAAACTCGGGAAGAAGGCGGGCAAGTCCGACGTGGTCACGGGAGTGTTGAGGTCGGTCGGCGTGCCACCTGAGGTGAGCGCCGGCGCCATCGGCTTGAGACTGCAGTCGAATCCTAGCGCGCCGACGTCGGCGAGTGAGAGCAGGTGCGGGCCGGTCGGGGGCTCCGCGTCCGTGCCCATCCCGTCCGGCACGACCTGCTCCTCGGCCCAAGGGCCGATCGGTATCACGAACAACGCCAGCGTGAAAACGGCCTCTCGCGCGGCCGGTGCGAAGGGGACTGGCGCCGCGCGACCCCGCGCCGCAGTTTTATCAATGGAGCCGCGGTCCCATATTCGGTAGCGGCGCGCGCAGCTCCGCCAATCGCGCGGCGCTGTGCCCCCCCTCGCTGACGTCACCGCCCGGCCCGCCCACCGCCCGCGCCGCCCCGCTGGCCGCCCGCCACCCGCCGCCCTGCACCCGCTCGCGCCGCTAAAGCCTTCTGGCACGCTTCCTCGCCCGCTACGATCATTCAACAATAAGCGCGTGCCGCTTGCCCGCCAGCCGGAGAATATCACCCGTGTTTATAACATTGCGCGTTTTTTTAGTCGGTAGGTTGATATGGCACGTTTTTTGTTTCTTCAATTATTGAGACGGCCGATGAAGGCTCGAGTCTAAGATTATGGATGTAATTAGAAATAATTATAAAATTTATTAAATGATCTGAGATATCATGAAATTACTATGGAAATAAATACTTCCGCTCTCATCGACCAAGATGATAAAATATTTTGTTTTGCTGTTTTTTTCTCTTTCTTGTTTTTCTTGTACGTTGTTGTAGTTGTTTTTATGTAAATATATTTTTAAACACATTTAACTTTTCCATGTGAAATGTTTTTTTTTTAAATTAAATATTTTAGGAATTTTTAAATGGCTGCAGTTTTGGGGTCGCGTAGGTAGGTCCTTTCAAGATAGAAGCTACGTCGTTTTAAAATCTAAAATGAGAAGAACAGGTAATTCGATAAGGTTACCTACCTGCAAATTGTATATTTGGTTTTTTATCGACTTCTCAAAAGGCAGAGTTTCTTTAATTAAGAAGGCAAGTTTGTGTTACTAAAATTGTGTATAATTTATGACAATAATACCATTATAAGTAAGATGCTGGTAATAAAAAGTCAAAAAGCTCAAGACTTCGTCAATTTAAGAATTCTGGTATAAAGGGCTTTTCTTTAACAAATTGAATGTAATCCATACAAAAATTCAATTGAATTCGTTTATATAGAAAATTATACAGTGTGCATATTTTAAAATAATAGCAAAAATATTGTAACTTTTATTGTAGAATATATGTCATGTGTAACATCGTTTTATACTTTCATGGTCACTAACATTATAGTTATATAAGTTATTTACGGGATTGTTACCATGTACCTTGGTTTTAGCGAGTTTCCGATATTTCGGCGTTGTTGTAAGCGCCACGATCACGGAGTAACTAAACAAGGTACATGGTAACAATCCCGTAAATAACTTATATTAATGTGTCACATCTTCATAAAATCTATCGAAGTACTTATGTAATATGCCAATATCACTGTACCTTTAAATGATATTATTTAATTAATTTACTATGGTAAGCTTCTGTTTCACAAGCTCTCATTAGGCATAACAAAAATATAGTAATATGTAGTTTGTTTGGCATTTTAACGCAAAGCTATAATAAAATTCCTAAGAGAAGATGAGCTTTACATCAAAAAAGAAAAACGAAATTACCGATGGATAACAACTCTGTGATACGAGTGATTAATTTCAAAAACATTAATAATCTTTTCTAATTGTTTGAACTTAAATTATAGCAGAGCATAAACTAATGAAACAACATATTATTTTACTTTTATTTATAAGAATTACCTACATTCATAAAGAGGTAATTTTAAACGTACCATAATAACACGATTCATTATACAAACAAAGAAATGCTATATAATTTAACCCATTTTGCGATTCTTTAAATCCACCGTCTGAGAATGTTAGTATAGCCAAAAAATCTAATCGTTATTAAGTAGATTATGTAGATGATTTGTTTATATAATATAGAAAAGGTATTGGTTGTTTGTGTTGATTTACAATAGGCTAGTTTTATTCATGCAGGTCACGGCAGGCGTCGATACAAGTTCAAGGTAAAGAATTAAGCTTTTACAACAGAACAGCTTCTAACTACTAAAACCTAGACGATAGAAATATGACGTCATATAATAATAAAAGCTACCCGTTTATTGCAGGCACATGTTTCAGTTGCCATAAAGTCAATTGCTTCATTCACACCACAATTATATTCGTTTATAAATCTTATAATTACACAAACGACAGTCATAAATGCCGTAAAAAGATTTAAGTGTTCCGATTTGTTTGAATCGTGTAGTTGCTTAAGTATTATACTTATAGACAAATTATTTACCTATTACCTTGAATTGAATTATCAAATCAAGTAATTTAAAATCAAAGTATAAATATTAATAAGTAATTCGGTCTACCAAAATCACCAAATATTTACAAAGAGTAAATTAAGTTAATTTTGAAGTTTTAATTAAAACGAGATAAATGCGACACAAGCCGCAAAAAGTACTTATTTGTCACGTTAAGTTAAGAGCTTAATGCATTCTGAGCAAGAGCAGCAAAAAGTTGGTAGTCTGTGCGGAAAGAGAATGGGATTTAGATTGGAGGGCGCTGTAGTGCTTTTCTACCGTATTTGTAAGGTTTTACCCCTATTAGACATGATTAAATACAAAAACCCGCAAGAAATCACAACAACAAACGAATCTGTATCAATACAAAACTTTTACGATTTACAGATTGCTGGGTTTGATTTCCAAATAAAAATCTTAATGTTAGTTCCGTTTTCGCCACGCCCATTCTCTTTCCGCACAGACTCTACAAGCGTTTTCAGTTAGGGAAGTATGACGTCA